CGACCTGAACCTTGACCGGCATGCAATTCCACGACACAGACATTGGATCCCATCTTGCAGACTCTAGTCTCCAGTCTCCCAATCGCCCCCATCGTCCCCATCGCATCGCTCTCGATCCCGTCCCAAGTTACGGATATGGTACACCGGCAATCGTCGCGGGCATTTGCGTGTTCCTCACCGTGGACACGACGCTTCGAGACTTTCCGAAGCAGTCTTGACTCTCTGCTCCTCAACAACAACACACGGATAGAAAGGCAGTTTTGACGACCGTCACCTCTCACACAGAGAGATACCGAAGAAAGAATCATGGGTGGACGGCCGATCTGACTGCGAAATCAAATCGCCCATGCAACGGCCGTCACATCCATCTTTGACGGATGCAACGCCCACACCCTCCCGCTCGCCGTCACATCCATCTTATCGCCTTCATTTACTTCTTTTGCCGACGCATGTGTTTGGTCCAGCTTTAAATTATTATTCGCGGCCTTGTCATCCTTCATTGTCGTCTTCATCCGCCGTCCAGCAAACAACCCCGGTTTTTCCCCATCCTCACCAGTGTTGTGATCAGACTACCCACCTACGGATACCTACCTCGCTGCATACCGATTTCGCCATCTTGCAGAAACCAGCGATAAGCCGTCCGGAGAGGTCTGGCTTATTTCACCGCGAAATCGGCCTCCCCATCACAGACGGAGCACTCCGTTACCTCTTAAAAGGTCAGCTGCCGGGAGAAACATTCTCACGTCTAGGAGCCTGAGAGACTCGCACGGGGGAGCGCCACCATTGTGGAGGGAATCCGAGCTCCGAGTTGGAGTGAAAACCAGCTCAACCTGCTGCCTTTTCGGCACCGACAGCACTCACTTGTGGTGGTGGTTGGGGGCTGAGGCACAGCAAACGCGCCATCTGGATCAGTCGGCACGCCAGACCCAGACCCTGACGACAATCATTCCGCCCGAGCCAACTCCAAAATTAAGAGAGAGCCTATCGATTTGAGCTTATTCCCGGTTAGGAGCCCCGATTGTGCGCCTTCTCCTCACCACAGCATCAACCATCAACCTGACTCTGAGAGTCTCGCTCCATCAGTCGCCTCTGCCGGATACCCGCACAAGTACAGAGCATCCGGCTCCGCGGCTACGGCTGCTACGGCTGCGGCCACCGACCGATCAGAGATAGCTGAAGCTTGCATCAATTTGAGAAGCTTAGCCTGACGAACCATTCATTCTGCTCTCCAGAGAGTACTCCATACGCCCCTTTCTCTATCGACCGAGGCATCGAGGCTTCAACTCGAAGGGGTATCACCCACCGAGGGAAGGGAGGAGACTTGCCTACAGTTAATTAACATCCTCCAGAGACATACGTACGCTGCCGGCCGACTCGTCGTCATCATCAGCCTCACCAACCTACGCCGCGTTCCTGTTCAGCACAGTCTCCATTATCCCCAGCGCCTAGATCCCAAAAAAAGAACAGACCGTCCGGCTGGTACGTGGGAGGACCATCGATACTATCCAAAGTAAGTTAAGCCATCACGCTACACCATGCTTTATTCCCTTATTTCCCCTATCGGATGGAGCAACAAATGCGTACGGAGAAAGACTGCGTGGTAGTTCATCCTCACCATTGCCTTGGGCCCCTCATTCTTTACTCCCGTTTGTACGCATAGGTATCCTCCTCCGAGCACCTCCCGCTTCCCGAAGACGTACGCAGCTCTCTCCCCATCGTGTGGCTCTCCCCTGAACCCGTCGCCACGCTTGTTTGACGGCTCTTTAGCTCTGGGCCAGAACAAGCTCTTTTTCGGGAGACCTGGCGGCGTGGGAAAAAGTTGGGGCTTGAGACCATGAGACTCGCTGGGACACTGGACAGATGTTCCCTCTTTACCCACTCTCCCACATCCCGATCCCGAAGCCCTCACGAGTCTTGACACAGCACGCCTGGCATGGCCGTGTAGTAAGGTAGGTACTGCGTGTCCGTAGAGTGGTAGACTTCCGCTGCCTCGTCGCCTTTGATGGGGAAACCGCCTGCATAATCTTGAGTCTCTGACGGCGTACCCAAGTCTCTCCTTGACCTTAAATTTTCCGCCCCGTCAATCGTTGTCCATCCATCTCAGCCCACATATCCGTACGGGAGACTACCATTATCATCCTGTGCCCCCTCCAATCACTTCAAACTGCGCCCAACTGGCGTCGTCATCCATCATCCTTACCCCCGTTGCTCGCAAACCCAAGGGTGCTCTGTACATAGTATCCGTCGTAGCGTACTGTACCAAGCACATTGCTTAAGTTGATTATCGGTGGGGTTCTCGGGATTTCCTAACTCTATGTACTTGTGCCTAGACAAGTATTCCCGTCGTTCGGACTCTTGCTCATTGCCGTCACGCTCCAGCCAACACAGCAGAACCCACACACGCCATCTCGTCCCAAAGCTTGTCACCACCTACCGCAACATCCAACGGCTTGTCCGCGTAAACCGTCGTCAGGAGCCCATCCCGGACACTGCCCCCCCATCCCAAAGGACGGCAAGCAATCCAAAAGTAGCGCTGTGCAACTCAACCTTTTCTGTCCTGTGTCCCCGATCCGCCGGGGCCTTGACTTGCGGCGGTACCCCTGGTCACCGTTGACTCTGTGTGGTCCCCTCCCAGGCTCCCACCCCAAGGTCCCAGGAGGACGCCCGGCCGACAGACTCGCCCTTTCGGCACTGGATCAAGCATAAAGAAGTCAACGCAATCGGCAGCTCCTGGGCCGCCGCAGCCAATCTCGACTCTCGCCTTGTCGTTCATCTCCCGCGGGTCTCAATCTTATAACAAGTGTCAAGATTCCCCATACGCCTCAGTTGCTGACTTTGGACGACGATCCGACACACGACTGTTGACTCTAACGAACCCACCTACCCGCGTGCCCACATTCGCGTTGCTGATACCGATACAAACCAACTCATCCAGCGAGAAAAGAAGTATCCGTAGAAGTCTGTCATTTTCACCGGCAGGCAACCTTGGCATCCCCGTCACAAAACACTACTCTGTACGGATACACTACACACAGAAAGAGAGGTACGTACGCACTTCATTGTTTCGATACTCACTACCCATCCTTCTGCCCCGTCGTATACGCCCCGTTCGTCTCCATCTCGGCCCCTCTCCATGTTTTTGTCGTAGTCAAGCTTCGGTGTCGATCAGGTGCATTGTCTACCTGGTTGGAATGGGCGCCTGCTGCATCTGCGTCACCCTTCTGCTCCCCTCGAGTGTCTAGTGTCACCCTCACGTCTATCCTGATGTAGGAAGTTTGGGGGCCGCGGTATTGCAGGGGCTGCTAGACGGCACATCACTCTCATGCACCGGCGCTATCAAGAAGTTGCAGTGCAACCATTGAGCACAGGTCGTCCAAACAGGGCATCTGTCAAGAGGTGATCACACACTTGTCTGATGAAGCTTCCTGGTGCTCAACGATCACTGCTCATCACCTATTGCTACTACTGGCCGCCGCCGGCCGAACACTATTCAACTCGTTCACGCGTATTTTCCTCATCTGCCCATTACCCTCCGAATAGCTTGATCGTCGTCCCAAGTCTGCACGCAATATTCAGCCCATTTATCTACCTCTCTCATCATTCATGCACATCGCCTCTTTTCCCACAGTTGGCTTCCAAGTACGACTCGGCCATCGGTCATCTCGGCCTCTCTACTGAGCCCGCTCAGGGATAGTCCAAGAGGCAATTTTAGTCGAGGAAGCCAGTACCCCCCGTCCCCGTCATCTTCTTCAGTGGATCGGCTGTGACGGCGCTGAGAGAGAGAGAGAGAGAGTGTGTGTGTGTGTGTGTGTGCGCACAGGGTGATTCCAGAAGGAATTTTGGGTCACTCGGGTCGCCTCCACTTTGGTTCGAAGCGTATCCGTAGTCTTCCCAAGTCCCAAAGTCACTTTTCAACCCATGCCCGGTCTTGTCTTCTTGTCGACACCCCCCTCTTCGTCGTCGTCGTCGTCTTCTTCCTCTTCCACCCCCTCCGTCTCCCACACGCCCTCTTTTTGCATTCGTACCCCTGCCCCCCTTAGCTTGCCCTGGCCCCCCTCCCTTACCATGACTCCCCTGTCGCCAAAAGCTTGGCCTTCGCCGGGGGGTGCGACTACTAGTGTGGGCTTGCGCGTGTTGTATCAGGATATATATGGTACAGGTGCTGCTCCAGCCCAGTCAGACGCCTTTGAACTCCATACCTGGCACGTCTCGCAAGCCTGCCAAAAGCAGCTCTCACCAACTCCAACATCCCGCTCACCTTCACCATCTCCACCCTTTCGAAGCTTGACGTGCGACTCAATGCGCCTCAACCTATCTCTCTGTCGAGTTGTGAATAAGCTTCTGTCATCACCCATCACCGCCTGCGAAACACCTTCATCCTATCGTCGAGGAGCTCATCGTCGCCCTCACCTGCCTAGAACCTGAAGAGCTAACCCACTTTGCTCTGCGTCATCTAGCCTACGCAATTCGTTTCTCTTTTCTCGAAGTGTTTGTCAGCGGTATCAGCACCCGCTGCTCACCACCTACGCGTCCGCTTCTCACAGAACAAACGCTCTTTCATAGAGAAAGCTTGGACCTTCAGCCTTTTCCGACGAGACGTCTCACCCTGATTTGCCTTGGACAATCTCTTGGCGTGACAGACGGACACCACCAGTCTGGTCACACGGGGTTTTAACCATAGCTATCGGCTTAACCCAACAAACTCTCTTCTCTCTCGACCGCGGATTACCCGTCTTTGCCATAGGGCAACTCGGGCCAAGGATCTTTTTCTGTCGAGGGCAACTTGTGCCGATTTCTACTCAAACTATCCCTACCCCCCAAACGAACTCAGTGGGGCCGCAGTGGAGGACCACCGGAGAGTTACTTTCGGACCAGCCTTCCCTTCTTCTCACCTTGATATAAAGGTTCTCCCCATCCTACCTATCAAGATCTCTTGGTAGCTTCACACTTTTACTTTACCTTCACCACACAACCTTCATCACACTTTATCCATCATCACCATGGAGACGTATCACGGCTTTGTGCGGACACCCGCAGACGCTATCAAGCTCTTCGAGGCTTGCAGACTCGGCCTCTTGCCTCGCGTCCAACGCAGACTATCAGAGAAGGAACGCCAATCCATCCGATCCGGCTCAGTATTTGTTTGGGATGAGCGGGAAGCTGGCATGAGGAGGTGGACCGATGGAAAGTCATGGAGCGCCAGCCGAGTCTCTGGCAGCTTCCTTACCTACCGCGAGATGGAGGGCAAGCGTGGCAGCGGCTTCGGCGGCGGCAGACGGGGTGCCGGCAAGACTCCCGACTCTGGCCGCGGCAGCGATGAGGACCAGGAGGACGGCGAGCCTGAGGGCTACAGATACAAGGCGGATGGCCTCATGAAGCAGTCTTTCAGCATCACCACCTCCACTGGCCAGCACCTTCACCTCATCTCCTACTACTCGAGACCGCACCCTGGATCACCAGAGCTCCAGCAACCAAGCACCGATGCCCAGCTCAGACACATCACTCCCATGAAGGGAATGTACCCCGAGTCCAGCCTCCACGACAGCAACCCTACTCCCGCTCTCACAAGAGGACCTATGCTGCAGCAAACTCCCTACATGACACAGCAGCACCCTCAACAGCCCATGCCGCCGCAAGCCTACCCTCCTCAGTACGCACAGCAGCCGGGCTACTCATGGCCTCCTTCGCCGGTCGCCACGCCTCCTTACAGCCACTACACAACATCTCCCTACCCGCCGCAACAGCAGCCGCAACATCAACTGCCGCCTCCTCAAGTCTCACACTCGCCCGCGCAACAACCGCACTACGCACACGCACCTCCTCACCACCACCTGTCCCCCTACGACCGGGCACCTCTCCCGCCGCCAACGGCTCAGAAGCCTCTGGCTCCCTATGCTCCTCAACACCAGTCTCCTCGCCTGGCGCAGATTCAACAACCGCAGCACCAGTCGCCTCGGTTGGCTTCTATTCAACAGTCGCGTGCTTCTGAGTCCCCTCGCATCTCTCACCTTCAAGCTCAAGCGGCACAGGCTGTGATGATCGACCCTAGACTCGGCCCTCGCAACCCCAACACTCTGCCGGGAATCAACGCCGTCTCCAGCGCTCCTTCTACCAGCCACCCGATCACACATACTCCTCCCAACAGGACGTTGTCTGTCTCGCCTCCTAGAAGCTCGCACTCCGATAGCAACAGCGCGGCGCCCCTTCCCAACAAGGCCAGCCTGTCTGCTCTCTTGCTGCACCCTACTCCGTCCAACTCTGAGCCCAGCAGTGCCAACGGTGTGAACAGCGCCAACAGCTCCCCGCGAACAGGGGGCGCTCTCGGCGGTCTCCCCCCGCCGGTCGACCGCCCTGCCAACATGAGCCACGACGTCAAGGCGCTTCAGGCTCTGGACCGCAAGTTCTGCATCTAAAGTGTGCCAGACCGGGAACAAGAGGAGAAGGAACGTCCATGAAGACGTAATCAGGGTTGCATTGCCATGTTAGCCTGGGAATATCATTTTGTCTTTTTTTTTTGTCTTTACTTCAGCATCGCCACGGCGTTTGGGAATCACTTTCAGGACCAAGCCACTTTGGGCGGTCTCAACAAATCGGGAAACGTGAGATCACGATATCGGATCACGGGGGTTTTTTGGGTTTGCATCACGGTAAAAACGGGGTTGGCCAGGGCATCACCACCAGAGAGGTTTTGCATTGAAACAGTCGTTACTTTTCTTTTACACAGTATATAGCATTACGAGATTGCCTCATCCGCGCCATCGGTACATCACCGGGCGAAATAGACTGGCACATTTTTACCAACATCTCAACTTCCGTGTATCCCCTTTCCCACCCGTGGCTTTGAGTCAATTATCGATGAAGGATGTGTTACGTTGCAGACTGGTTTCGAACATGTGGCTCTATACAGTGATGCACACAGATGGATGCATCTTACGACGGTAAGGTGGTGGACTTTCGAGTCTGAGGCTAAGCGGATGGAGTCCTTCCCCCAAAGTCGGAGATCATTTTCTGAGGCGAACTGACAGCGGAGTATTGGTTGATGGAGACTTAGTTGCAAGCTTTTTTTTTTTTCCTTGTCTCTACCTTTGACGAAGCAGGCCCCTTGGAAGGCATGGCCAGCAGTAGATCATGTCTCCGACAAAGAAAAAAAGGTACGAGTTCCCATTTGCCAATTGGTATGTGGTCAGTTTAGGTTAAAGTCGCGTTAAGCATCAGGCGGTTGGCAGGGGGTTGTTGGTGTTGGGGGGAGGGGGAGATCCATCATCCATGAGACGGACAACGTTGATGGGTGGTTGCGTGGTGTACGGAGTAGGGGTCATGGTTCGAGCAAGACGGACGGAAGAAAAAGTTGCGCGCGCGCGCGCGCGCGCCCTGTACGAGAGAGAGCCTTCGGTGGCCGAGGGAGAGCAAAGCAGTACGAGTAAAATGGTAACGAAGCGGCCGCCCTGGGTATGACCCTGGTGGGGAAGGGGAGAGAGAGAGCCAGAGGCAGAGTGCCAGAGACGTCTGTGGGAATTTAGAGTGACGAGGCTACCGACGTTCACTGCCGATAGACGCGTAGATGAAACGGCCTCGTTCAAGGGTGTGGGTGGGAAAAGGTGGGATAGTGTCTAGGGGGGGAGCAGTTCGTGGTTTGTGTGACTGGGGTTTTGATGGGGACTTGGAGGGGGGTTATGGATGGGAGGAGGAGGCTCTTGTGTTGGTTGTTGGTCTCGATGTCGAATCTAGTCGACGTTGGTTAGACGTCGGACGAGAGAGACGTTGTAGATAGGGGGGCAATTTTGCTCTGAAGACGGTATCGTTTTGGAGCCTAGGTATGGATGGATTACAACTTTAGATACGAAATAGAGAGACTGCCCGTATCTCCATGGGGGAGAGAAGCAGCAGTCAATTTACCATTCGGGGCGTTTGTGGGGTGCGCCGGCAGCGTTCAATGCTTCTGCGTCGGTTTCTTGGTGCCGTTGCGGTTGCTCGGCCGGCAGGCAGGCTGGTAAGATACAGGGTCCGGGGGTTCGATTGTATTGACCGTTTTGGGACGGTTTTTTGGGCTTCTGCCCCGAAGAATTCCATCTTTCTATTGCTCTTGTGGGTATTGCTCCGTTTAAAGCGTTTAAAGAAGATGTTCGAAGGAGACGATGTTACACGGTTGGGAATTAGGGAGCAGCGTAGGACGGCCGGCAGATATCTAGAGTTGGATTTTTGAAGTATGATGTGAAGTCTTGGCTTGGTGATGTCCTCGTCATCTTGGTGAAGATTGGAGGGAAACCCGGATATGGGAGAGAAAGCATCAGTGATCACCATCACAAGGGTCCAATAGCATTGGTTTAAGGGAAATGGAATGTGGGATGTTACGCCCTTTCAGAATTAAACAGTGAGATCTCCCGTAACTGGGTGGATGGATGGATTTTGCTTGTTCGTCATGTTTTCGAAACGGGCAGGATGCTCGTCATGCCCAGGCTGTCAGTCAAAACCAGCATACCACGAACCTCCACCGTCGGTTTTTCTCTCCCGCGCGCGCGAACGTATGACACCGGGGACAAGCTTGACTCTTGGGACAGAAAAGCCAAGATCTGGACAGGTTTCTCCACTTCATGCATGAGACGACCCTCTGATGGAATTCATGGGAATGGTAATGCTGACTGAGGTTGAGGAACGGACGTGGTGGGTGCTGACAAAAAAAAAGCTTGCCATTCATGGGTACGTTTGTAAGTTGGAACGGGAAGCGTTTACCACTTACGGGGAGCGTCGGTTTGTATGGGGGGTGGGTTTGCTTCGTTACAGGTGAGAGAGAGGGAGAAGATACTCTTGGCATTCTGTCCTATTGACAAGATGATGAGCCACTTGCATTCGTAGGATTTCCTCTTTCACCTGCGATGTACGCCAGTCATGGACGACATCCGCGTCCCCATCTTCTTGCCATCTTGCTGATGCCGTACAGTTGTTTGCTCGACTCTCACGGATGTGTCCGTAACGTCAGCGTTTCCCAGCCCCGGGACGCGGGACGGGACCAAATCCCGCTTGCTTGTCGCTCATTGAGGCGCAGCAGCTTGCGACCCCCTACCTGAGCTACCTGAGCTACCTTAATTTTACGCATACCGACGGATACCCAGTGCCGCTTGGCGGGGGTCGGTGGTAGTTGACGCGTAAGGTAAGGAATGAGCATCATTGCTGAATAGTGATCAAGGCCGGCCTCTGTGGGCTATGGTAAGGTCAAGAAGGGGGACTGATCTGATCTGATAGAAGCGCTATTCAACCTTTTGCCATGATGGTTGCGTTTAGCCCGCCGCCTTCTTTCGCTTTACCCCCATAGTTGTCTTATAGACGGACTTGCGATAGGTTCACATTATGACTCGTGGGGTGGAAGAAAGAGGGTGTGCGCGCGCTGGGGCACCAACAGGCCAGTTTGGATCTCTTTCGGACAGGATGCTCACATTCGGCACAGAGAGCCGCTGGGCTGGGGAATAAACTTGGGATGGACTCTGAAGCTTAGCCTGACGGACGCGTAAGTAGGGGGTCATAGGTGGGTTCAAGTTGCTGCTTGACCTACTGAGAGTAAGACTTTGGAAATCTACCTCACCCCCAAGTCAGGTCGGTCCACTTGGGCAGTAGAAGCGCCGTCATGTCAGTGCGTGTTGTAGCTTGTATCATTTCTCGGAAATCTTCAACTGCGCCTGGCTGGTGGTGGTTATCTACGAATGTGAGCGCTCAGCGCGGCCGTGCTGTTGGCGCTTAACGTAAACTTACTTTGGCATCGGCGTTGGGGCACCGCACTGCACCGCGATCAGAACGGCGTGAAGGCTATACGAAAACCATAGAGGCTGGTTCACGCCCCTTTGGAAGTCACCGTGTTGATCATAACGGTAGTCGGCATTCTTTCAAGCCCACCAACTCTTATGTCCGTTGCACAAGTCATCAGATTCTACGGCAAGTTTTCCGGGCTTAAGTCTAACATTGAACAGGTCTTTAGAGATCCTTTGCGTGCCATTGGGTGAAATGGATGACGTTGCCAAGGGCTGGGGTTCGAGGGGAAGACACAGAGGAAAGGCTTGCCGGACATGGGAAGGGGCCCCTCAATAAGCTATTATGGATCAAATGCGAGCCAAGCAAAACGAGCTCAGTATTCGTATGGCTCGAAGCCGGGGGTCAAGGTGAGAGCAGGGCTCTGAATGAGTTGCAATGGGAGCTATTCATACCTACCATCGCTCAACTCGTCAACGCCTCGTTTGGGATTCCGAATGCGCGTCTAACATCCCCTTGGAGAAGTATTCGCCTTCTCCAAAAAAGACTGGATGCCACCCCCGCCGAAATCCCTCACGCATATTCGATCTCTTGAGGGTCATAGTCACATCAAAAAGAAGCCAAGTCTCAGAATGCGCAAGTAAAGCCGACCACTGCCCAGGGGTGCCGACGCACGGCAGTAGTGTAGAGACGAAAGAGCAAGAAAAAAAAGCTCGGGTCTGGTGCCTGTACGGTCGCATTCCGAGCAAGGTGCGCTAGCCGCCGTGGATCTGATGTATGTCCACTGTCATCCTCCGTCCTCATCGTCTAGAATCGCCTCCTGAGACGAAGCCCTTCGCCAAATGTTTCCTCCCGGGAACAGAACGCACATGCCCCTTCTGATCTCTGGGGCGGAAGACAGTCAGAGCGGCACACTCAATCGGTCACTTGCCGATGTTGGGTCGCCTTTTGGTAGAACTTGACGGGTTCAATACCAGTATCGAGCCTCTCTCCCACCCCCTGCCGATTCACCCACCGTCCGCGAAAAAGCAGGGTCCTTGACAGGCACATACTTAAAACACCAACGAGGCAAGCTTTGACGAATCTAGCTTTGGTTCGGTGGAGAATGAGCGACAGCAGCCATGGGTAAACTTGCTTCAGGACGGAATTTGGGTTATCTTGGCGGGCCCGGACCGCCAAACAGCACAGGAGATTGGAAGGATTAGGAGAATAGAGGAGTCTTGGCGAGCGATAGCGTGTCGCGAAAAGTTGCTTTCTGACTGGGGGGGAAGCGGACGTGAGGTAGTACGGTGGATTCAACCTCACTGGTTCTCCCAGTGTGCTATTCTCGTCCGCTTGGCTGCGTGTCCGTTTCCTCACCATTGGGTCTCTCCAAGCAGGGCCAAGGCCAAGAGCCTGGAAGGAAAATGACTTTTGCCTTGCAGCGTGGCAGCGGTTCAATGGGAAACAATTCAGGAGGTTAGTGATGTTTCTTGTCAGGTTGCCCCGCCCGCCGCCTCCTGATAGCCATGCTCAATGGCTAGTAGTTGATGGAAGTGCTGAGTGCTGCTAGCCATTCGCTAGTTAGAACCTCCGAGGACGTGGCCGAGATACCCGTCGGTTGCGTTGACCAGCGATTTTGGGATGCCAAGTGTTGATTTGCAGTTTCATCACCCCTTGATGGATGAGTTTATCCAAAGCTTCGTCTTTTGACGTGCCTATACTCCACTATGCCTCTCACAATTCTGGAAGATAATGTTGATGTATCTCGAGGTAGCTTCCCATGTATCCTGGAGGCACGCCTCTCTACGCTATTCGGGACATTGTAGAATCACGCCCGTCTCGTGAGGGCGGAGGCGCTGGCTAGTGTATCAAGTCTTTTGACACGGTCACGGAATGCTCAATTGCGATGGCGGCTGTCTGCTCGTAGTCTGTAACTTTGATGGAGCGAAAGCGAGACGACATTTATGAACAACATGAAGCACCAAACTGGCTCTGGCAAACGTCAATTGATCGCCTTAGACTTGAATACCATGGAGCCCGCCATTATGGTGGATTTATGGCTTCACGTGTTGAAGGCCTCATGGAGGCTACATCTGAATAAGAAAATGTTCACAGAGCAATGAAGCTACAAAAGCTACTGGCATCATAATTCACGCGAATGTTATGTTGACGCCAAGCAGGATTCGAAAGACTTGCAGCAGAGCTCCATGTGTCTTCGCAACCTGAAGCTGCCTTGTGTAGCCACGGAAGTAGAAGCCTACCGTTTCTGCGAACCACCGCTGCAGATTGCACGGAGAGTCCGTCGACTTTGCGAATTTATGGCCAATTACTGCTACAAGTAAGACCTCCCGCACGCTCTCTGAATTTGGATCAACAAAACGATTCTGATGAAATCTTCCTAGATCGTCGTTATGGTGAGATTAGAAGAATCCCGAGTGAAGTTCGGCTCTTATCTTTAGTGATGTTCATAACTTTCAAGTAGGGGCCGTCGACCGCTAATTCGGATTTGTATCCCCTCTCCTAGAGCATAACAAAGGAAAGCATTGCATTCTGTCATTGGATCTGATATGCATGGTATCATATTTCTATTAATATAAAACGGCTTCTTCATCGTAGTCCTTCTTTTAATGCCGTCGGTGGGTGACAATTAGTTTGTCGTGAGATTCGTAACGTGAGTACCAAGTACAGCACGTTGATGGTTCACCAGCTCATGGACAGTTAATAATATCAGCATTATTGAATGCATCAAATTGACTTTACAACGTGTACGACCCGAAAAATTCGTTTAGCTAAATGCAATAGTCCTGGAGAGTTGTTGTTGATATTTCTATCGCTGTTTTCGCTTCCCTGTATCATCGCTGTCGCAGTCCAGAGACGACAGTTGAGTCTATCCAGTGGTTTCTCCAGCGACTGCTCGACGTCTCAAAGAACTACAGTGTCAAGCCAATTGATCCCTTCGAGGTGCCGTTCATGCTGTAACGGCATATCGCCGCGCGTATTCTCTTTTAAGACATTTTGGTAGAGAGGGCATATGTCTCAGAGAGTGCAAACAAATCCCGAGATCTGACTGTGGACGTTCACAGGCTTCGCTCTACAGCTGTACTTTGATTTCAGTAGCCTGCAAGGCGACCTTCCACCGTCCCAGCTCGGCCAAAACCCATCACGATTTGCCCCTGAATACTCCGTACCTGAGATGCTTTCGCTATCTGGTTGAGCACCAATCGTTTACTGTGCTCACTTACTCCGGAAGCACAAGCGTAGAAGTCACATTCCGGGCGGAACCCCCGGCATGCGACACGCAAGCTCTGCAGGGCCAATGGACCTGGGCCGGTGGCATGGTAAGATTATTGTTTGAAAAAGGCCGCCGTGTGTGCTAAGATGGAAACGGACAGGCGCCCGAATAATGTCCAGAGGGAATAGAAATTCGTTCCGACTTTTGGATCCGCTAAAGAAGCATACACGGCAAAGATCTTGACAGCATGGGTTTGTAGTCCGAATGAAACGAGCCAGGGCAAGTCGTGCCGAGCGAAAGGGGAGGGGAGGGGGATTGGTGGTCGAAGGATCGCACTTCGTTTCGATTCCTGGTCTGAGTGGTCCCATTTCCCTCACCAACCGATCCGACGGCTCGCCGGGGGAAAATCTGTGCAAAGTCCTTCTCACTCTAGGAGTCTCGCGGCTTCGCGTTCATGATCCTTGGCACACTGTTAGTGAGAATTGGGGGAGAGCCAAGATGCAGAAGTGACCAATTGTCCGAAATGAAGTGAACGCGGCAGTGCACTGCCTCCATTCATCTCCATGTCGCCTGCAGGCCTTGAGGAGCCTTTTACCAGGGGTTGAGAGGGTTGAACTTGGTTAAACCCACGTGGGACGCCTCCGTAGATGGGGAGGGGACGCTCCTTGGACAAGGAATTAGAGAGCTTCTAATCTGCAAATCTCACTTGTTTCCGGCGCTTTCTTTGCCCCCTTGATCCATAACCTTTGCAGGTCTTCAGGTGAGTGTATTTTGACGATTGATCGATCATACACAATGTAAGGGGGTTGAGGCTGAAAAGCACCACTTAACCGGGTTTTCCGAGCATGCCAGTCTGATAATGTGGCGACGATCACCCACTTTAGACGTTTAGCATCAGGCGGAGGACGTAAGCGGCCCGCGGACAGGGAACACTCAAGATAAAAAAAAATAAGGCCGAACCAATGTCTGTTCTTTGAAATCGCCGACTAGTCTCGAGCAGTCCCACGCGTATCGAAAAAGGGCTGTTACCCTCGGCCGCGACGGACTGGGGCCGGCTCCGGGCTCGAGTGTCGGGCCGGTGGGGGTGGATACCAGGTGGCTCGATCATGGCCCCAGAAACGGCGCCGAACTCGTCACTCAAAGGGTGTTGAGCTTACGCGCGTTCTTTGGGGGATTCCGTACCCAGGCGGGCATTTGATTTGGTGCCGAGTGGTCGGAGACTCGAATAGCCAACCACAGGTTCAGAAGAGCTCCCGGCGACGCATGCTTATGCGAGGGATTGCTACCTGGTATGCAGGGGCTTACAGTTGAACCTGTATCTGGGACGGTCGAGATGCTCGGCGCCTTACACATCTTAGTTTACTGCTCGGAGGATTTCCCATAGTTGTACGCGGTATGTGATCCATCATCCCCCGACTTTGCTTCCGTGAGCACTGGAAAATGTTTATGCTCACGCCCCGTGTCACGGACGTAGACGTACCTCTAGATTTTTCGGGGTTGTGTCTACTCGAACCCAACCACTGGAACGGCATCCCATGTCGATGCGGGTGATTTTAAAGTGCCGCTCAAGTTGCCCAAACGGCATGAATTCGCGGAGCTAAAACCTCTCACGCGGGAAGGGGAGCCTGGGATAGCTAAGAATAGAGGGCATGTCTAGACGAGACAGTTCGCGTGCGGTGTCACCAGGAAAAGCGCATGCGTCGTAACCGTTGGAGATGTGCTTCCAGGGATCGGGAAGGTGGGAGGCGGTGTCTCTCACTTCCTGAAAGTCCGTTCCCTCGGATTTGGGAGGGCAGAAAAAAGCTAAATGGGTTTAAGGTGGTCGTGTTGGTGGTGGTCCCGAGTAAGTTTTGTCCTCCTTTTGCGTCATTCGCGAGGAAGTGAAGAAGAGGGGGGGCGTGCGAAGATCAGACGAGACAGTATGTCCTGAGACGACCGTTGTTCGGCACAGGTTTCCCATACCCAGTAAAACTTTTGTGCCGAATGAAAGATATGCTCGGTGCGAGTGTGCCGAAGATGGTGTTGTAAGTGGTTTGTAAGGTTAACCTTGAAGCGTCCCCCGAAACCTTGACATGGCTGAGCTTACATTTGCGTGAACCAACACTCTATTCTTCCACCGAGAGTTTCTTTCTAGACTTCAGAACAAACGGCCTATTTCGTATTTACGAGAAGCTTAGGAATAGGGTTCCCGTCAAGATTAACCTCAAGGTTGGTTTGGCAGTCCTCGTCATCGATCTCAGAGTTTCGGTCGTTTACCTTCAAGGTTCAGAGAAAGGCGGTTAGGCTCGCGAGATCCTCAAAGAGGTGTTCGTTCTATGTGAGGTAGCCAATTCCCCTCGTAAGGGGCCACGGGCAGGTCCAACCGGCCACTTTCTCTCGAACTTAAGCCTCTGCCCAAAGTCGGGTGGTTAATCCCTTTGGACGGCCTCATCTCACCCATCCGAGCTTTGGGATAATCGGGAATCACGAGGTCTGCAGATGCGCCAAGCCACAGACCGTGACAGCGACCTTGTTCTCAACGTCCAAAATGCTGTAAATAGGCGAGGGCACGTAGTCTTTTCCTCGGTCTACTGTGACTCTTGGCAAGTCGCAGTAATGTCTGGTCGGCTCCGAGGTTGAGAATATTCGAGATGACCAAGGAATTACCTTCCTCGAGATATGCTTGAATTGATGAAATTACATTTTCAAGGACGTCAGACACGCAACTCTATCGAACCGCCCTGTTTTTAATTTACCCGCTAGAGCCTATCACTACTTAAGGTAGGATGGTAAAGTGAGTTTAGAGGACGATGATTCGAAATTACCCCGCAAGAAAAGCGAGGTGCTCGCAGAGCGGACGGCATTCCAATACGTGTGGGATGCTGCCATGCATCCCTAAGTTCAATGCAATAAAAGCCTTGACACCTTTCGGGAACTCTGAGTCGGCTTATCACGAGTGTTATGGTTTGACAAAGTCATTTCTAAGATGTGTAATATTATGCTAATCTCGCCCGGTCAACCTTAACAGTACTTGACGGGTAGTAAATGTTCAAGGTTGTGGAACACTAACTTTATAGAAACTTCAAGTAGAAAGTTGATCATTCGCTGTCGCTACCCAAAGCCTCGCACGAGGCGAGGTGTTGAAATTCTGTCCGAAGGTTGCCCCGTGAAATACAACCTTACACTAGAGCATTTCCAAATTCTGAAGAACATATCTCTGGCAACATGCGGGAAGCGCATGCCGATGATCCATGCCGTTGGTGATGATCAACAGATGGTTCTTGTATCACCTGTGTCGCCCACGCCCAGGATGTCCTGACACTACCCGCTCTTTGTTGAAACCTGGAAACCCAAGAAAGCAAGGCAGCCTTCCTAACATCTTTGTAGCCAGGGTGTTCCGCAGGAACGAGCGGCAAGGTTGAGACTTTGAGATTATTATAAGCATACATTCTTGTGATCAAGGGGAAGGTCAAAGAGGGGGCAGGAGTTGGCGAGCTGTCGCGTGGTGATCAAACGATTTCTTGGGCTTGGCGGCGTCGAGATGAGACCGCCTGCAACTTGACACGACGGTCCTTTCCGAGTGCTACGTTGCGCTACAGCTGCAAGGTGGAGCGAGCTTGAATCAAGCACGACTTTCAAGATTGAATGTAGACAAGGTAGCCGCCGCCAAGCTAGTATCGGACTTGAGATGAGTATCTTTAACGTTAATTCATGTTAATCCGGATGTATGTCCCCACGTGGATGTAGGTTCAGGAAGCAAGGTTTAGTTCGGAACAAGGGATTACTACTTGTACTGTGTGAAGCCTGTCAGCTCGGTATCGTTCTCTGCTTCGGTAGTAATTTGTTTCTGAGACTGCAGGTGGCAGTCGATGTCCGAAATGCCAACCCGAAGCCGTGGGACTGTCGGCCAACGACATGTTACGATGGTAAGCCATGAGTCCCCGTAGAAGATTTCAATGAGAAGTTATCAACGGTCGGGGAATTATCGTGGTGCCAGCCTTCAGGGCCGATGATCACATACTACCTTAACTCGCAGGACGAGACTGAGGCATGGCGACGCATACTCACAAGAAACTAGGGAAGATTGCTGCAGCGATTGAAATGCAAATCATGTTCTATCAACTGCTGGATATTACTCAGTCTTGACACCAGCTCACACATAGAATCAAGAGTATCCCACTGAGACCCAAAGCACCAGTATTGACGATGTCCTGTTGTGGACCCAACGTACGAGATGATGTCAAGGTTCCTTTCAAACTTGGAACTGTGAGATGTAATCGTGAGATATCTCAATGCCAAAATAGATCGCTTGACTGCTTGTATAAGGCACATCATTGAAGCATGAAGATAGTCATAATGGCAACTGCAAATATATTATAAGGTGTGAAGTGTTCCATCTATGTAAAATTAAAATCGTGCCGAGAGTTGTGAAAGTCGGGGTACTTCTTCAATAATATGGTTACGCTGCCTCGCCTGAAGCCTCTTTGGCTGAGGCATTCAAAAACTTGAATTCTGGCTATTTGCCTAAGTTTCCTCTTCAAGTGGTTCTTTGTCCCTATATGCGGGTGATTCTGAACTAATGAACGAAGAGCGAAGGCGCGAAGGCACTGATCGCTTCCATAATCTGAATAGCAACTCTAACCTTCCCTCTCTATGACTCCTTGACTTGTAAAATATACAAGTGTCCCCAATAGGAATGAGATTATGTTCCCAGGATCCCTTCCATTAGATGCCAGAAATATTTCTTACTTGTCACCAGACTGCAAGCTTCACCGCCATCTCGGGCTCACTGATATGTGTCGTTAATTCAAGGAGGAGTATCATGCCATTGCAGCCTCCGATATTAGCGTTCAAGGTATCTAGGGTAGTAGAAGCATTCCGCTCTTGTCAAGTATCTAGTAGGTCACACGTAGAGTGGACGTCCTCTGTTGGTCACACAGCTGTAACGTCATTCCCTCATTCTCGGCCGCGAAGATCGAAGTTGTGCAATATTCAGTTCCATCGCGTTCGGTAGTGCCTTTTCCAAGTTATCGACCAGTCAACGGGTGTTTTCCGTTAAGCTTCCGGCATTCATGAAGTCCACCTTCTTTCGCAACTCTTCGATGATCCACCCGGGTCCCTATTTCACGCCAATGAAGAGCGGCCTCCCATACTATTCTACAAGCCTAAGGGGCTGAGTAAAACTCGGAAGCCTGAAATTAAGGATGAGTTGCGTCTGTTTGTGAGACGTCAGCTAATAAAGCAGCGGTATTTCTCCGCGGTCGTGGACTGCATCGACTTTGAGTCTCAATCCAAATCTTGCATGTAATCACTACATGGCCGCTTGGGGAAATCGCCTATGCTTCCACTCGAGCGCCATAGTCTCAGAGCAGCATTACTCACATTCCCGACGACAAAGGGAGTTTTTGAGAATTACTCGAGCATTATTTGCATGGCGACATGTTTCTTTCATCTTCTGAGAGGAGAGTCTACTCTCTCCCACCACCTATCTCTAGGCTCACGGCCAATCTGACTAAATCACTACTGGGAGCTGGTCAGCGACTACTAACAGTCAAAATCCCTTCTGACCGTATGTTTGGCACGAGAACCACTCACCGATACTTGGGCACTTTCGCTCGAGTACAAGGTGTCGTGGCGTTCGCGCCAAGTAATCTGCCGTGCCTGAAGCGTGGGGGCATTTCGCGTCGCCCCAACATAACCTACGTAGCGCTACAAACACACTAATGGAAAAAAGATTCAAAGATACCAAGTAGTTCGAATGGTGTTTCTGAGACTAACCTCGTCGGCGTAACATCATACTGAAGTTCTCAGAAAAGAGGTTCGCTCGGGATCGTGAACCAACAAGCAAGATGAGGCCCTCCAAAGACATAGACCCAAAGTATTTCTGCACGAGCGAATATAATCCGAGACTATAACCTCATCTGGTTTCCTTTTGCCTTTCATCTGCATTTTTTTATTCACATGTTCGATATGTCTAGGAGGGAAGTGGCGGTCCACAATGGTTCATCCAAGGGGGAAGGGGGGTTGCTACTAGCACTTGCCAATGATGGAAGCGAATGTGTACTGCTAGCAATCGCTATACGGAAGCAATACAATATTGACAAAGATTCCGCGACAGATGTTTCTGTTGCAATACAGACACCTCTCGAACATAATTGTTGGGCCTCCGTATCTACTCGACTAATTCGATCATACGGCTGAAGCGTGATTTCCCTGAAAAGACATTGGCCTCGTTGCACAGAGCGTGAAGAGTGATTGTGCTGATTCCATTCAATAATCTATTACATCGGTTAAGAATCCGCACTACGCTCATGGATACACATCGATCCTCAAAAATGGTGAGACAGACTTGTGCGCGGCGATAGACCTTGACATTCATAAACAACACCTTAGTTAAATACTTGTGCTGCCGGAAAAGAACTTGCAGAAAGTGCTGTCAGGTGACCTGTCGATCAACGTTATTTGTAGGCCAATGACGAAGGTGACATTAAAGCGCAGGTGATAAGCATTGACGACGGCCTTTCGGTCGTAGGTGATGACCGGCAGATGCAGGCTCCGGAGCATCCTCAAGTGGGTCCGGAGGAACCTCTGCGTCACACCGGGTGGGGCCCAATTGCTCCGGAGATCGGTAGTGGGAACCATGCCGGCAGCTGTGTTGACAAGTTCCAGAAGCCGCCAAGGCCTTCAGAGTATTTCCACTTCGTTTGTATATGATTACGATCTAGATATAGTCGAGCAGTGTGCGTCCTAACTATTGCGATTTAGTGGTAACGTCTTGAACATGCTATAACATACGCAAGAGCCATGTGCAAACCGTGGTGTTCCTTCGGTCTCGGCGCTAGAATCAGTTGCAGGGAAACATTCTACCCTAAGGCAAGGCAACAAACTACTCGCATGTATGCGTCTCCTTAGGTTCATGAACGGTAATGTGACCAATGTCTTCTAGTTCCCGAGGGGCAACTGTGCGAGGCCTGAGACACCGGAGCATCCTCTGGATGCCCCGCAAGTTGTGATGTGTCGGTGCGAGCAGCGACGTGCGGAGTAGCCTGGAGCCAATATTCCTCAATTTCTCCACAGAGACTAGGACACCTCAACATCTATGCGAGCTCGAGACGATGTCCCTGGGCCAGATTATGGTAGTGCTGAGTCCCCGGATGTAGAGTATAAATGGACTGTCACCCAACGACCTACGCTATGATAACTCAACCACAATCTCGCACTAGAATCTTCATTGAGCGCTACCATGTTATCCATCGATTCTAACCATGTTGCACTTGGGCTCGTCTTGATCCTGTTCATTCTCCTAGTCAACTCACTGCGAGTAGCTTTCCGCCCTGGCCTGAGTAAAATTCCTGGGCCCTTCTTTGCCAGATTCACTCCGTTATGGCGCGTGTTCTTCGTCTGGAAGGGCAACGCCCATTCAGACTACCGTATACTTCATGAGAAGTACGGGCCAGTCGTACGAACTGCCCCCAACGTGGTTGACATTTCAGACCCGGCAGCTCTGCAAACCATCTACGGCATAAATTCCAAGTTCATCAAGGTATGTACAACAAGGAGACGGTCAATCTGACACAATCTAACACAATTATTCTTCAGTCAAACTTTTACAACACGTTGGACGCTATTTACGAAGACGAAAGGATGCAGAGTTTGTTCACGGCGATCGACCCAGAGATGCACAAGGCCCTCAAGCGACCAGTGGCACAAAAGTATTCCATGACGTCTATTCGAACCCTCGAGTATCTGGTGGACCCCTGTACGAAAATGTTCACGGATGCCATGACCGATATGCAGGGGCAGGTGGTCGACTTGGGCACGTGGGTACAGTGGTACGCATTCGACGTCATTGGCGCCATCACGTTCTCCCGTCGCTTCGGATTCATGGAGACCCGGTCCGACGTAAACGATGTTATCTCTGGCATTGAGACCGGTCTCATGTACGGCGGAATAATCGGGGAGGTGCCTTCTTTGCACAAGTATCTTCTGGGCAACATCACGTTGAGGAAGGTGATGGAAAAACTCGGAGTTCCGGATCCATTGCCAATAGTTATGAATGTGAGTTACGAGCATGAGATGTGCATTGTTGAAATCTTTCTTCTGAGCGTGTCCAGCTGACCTCAACTGGCAAAGATGGTGATGGAGGGCCTAGAAGATTACGATGCCAAACAAGACTCTTCTGAACGAGGAGATTTCTTGGCGTATTTGCGACGGGAGCAAGCGTCTACTGGTGAACACATCAGTACTCGAGATATGATGAACCACTTGATGGGCAATCTGTAAGGAAGAATCAATACTTTGTAAAGTGGCCTGCACTGACTATTCAATCAAACAAGGCTGGCTGGCAGTGATACGACTGGCATCGCCCTCCGAGCTCTTTTCTACTATGTCTTGCGCGACAAGCGCGTGTATGATATTCTACAGAAGGAAATCGACGAAGCACAAGCAAAAGGAGAACTGTCGCCCGTGGTCACGTTCGGAGAGAGCCAAAAGCTCGTATATCTGTAAGTCCCTTCAGCAACCTGGGCCTTTATGATTCACTCTCCTAACGTTGAGACAACACACAGCCAAGCATGCATCAAAGAATCCATGCGGATGCACCCAGGCGTATCCTACCCCCTCGAACGCATCGTCCCGAAGACGGGCGCCGAAATCTCTGGGTTTCACCTACCGGCCGGCACCATCGTAGGCATGAACGCCGCCGTGATCCACCGCGACCGCAGCATCTTTGGCGACGATGCCGATACCTTTAGACCCGAGCGCTGGCTCAGCGACGACATTGAAGCTGTCAAGACAATGGACCGGCATAACATGAGTGTACGTATGAAGCTTCTGATGAAGTTGACGCCATCTCGCCATCTCGCCATCTCGAAGGAATGTGCTGACCTTTTGTCCGGCATCTGCAGTTTGGGGCTGGTGTCCGTACTTGTATTGGCAAGAACATTTCGATCATGGAAGTTGGGAAGGTAGTGCCTCAGATATTGCGGCAATTTAGTCTTGAATGGGCGTCGAGTGAGCCGGAGTGGCAGGTAACAACTTATTGGTTTGCGAAGCAGTCGGGCTTGTTGGTTCGGTTCAACCCACGGACGCCAGAGATTATAGCTAGCAAGGAATGAGGCAGTGGCTAGCCGAGATACCGCAAGATTGTGTGCGGATGTGAATTCGCAGTTCTTCGGAATGTATCATGCGATGGTATGTCTAGTACTTAGATAAGCTGTGAGTCTGTGGCAAAGCTCAGCATTACGGTAAAAGGAGATTTTGGTGTAAGTATGGCCTATACGACGTATCTTGCACGATCGTAAACTCGGTTATGGATATGTGTTGCTCAAGTAGACTTAAAATCATTATAAATGGAGTGCGATTGTTTGATCATCGAAAATCAATTCATTGGAGAAAGTCCCGGACCGCTACTAATTGCCGAGGCCGAAACAAAGACGTCAGAAAGCGAGGAAGTACGAGAGCCCCATGGAGATCTCCCGGCACCTCCACAAGCTACCCCGCAAAAACGGGATCCCTAAGCCTCTTCGGGTCCTCTGCATATGTCCCGCGACCTACAGCACGAAACGCCGTGTCCGTCTACATACTTTGTAGCAAGTAGCTTTGACTTCTGAGATTCCTTTTGTCTTTTGCCAGACAATCTGTTCAAAATTTGACATTGGACACTTCTGGCCTTATTCTCTATCTGTTTGGAGGGCGTGAGGTCACGATTCGGGGTGTCATCAAGCTAGCTATCCAGGATCCTGATGCACTGGAGGCCAATAGCGACTGAGTTCCCGTATCGTCATGTCTGCCGAATCGCCTCGGATTACCACAGCCGACCATCATCCGTCAAGCAATACCTCGAGTCCTCCGGAGTCAGATGAGGGGAAGCTACGAGTCTGCGACCATTGTAGAGTGTTCGTTCCCATCCATCAACTCCCAACTACCCTCGTCTGAAGGAAGCTTCTGAACTGACATCATCTGCGTAGGAAGAAAACGAAGTGTAAGAGATTGAGCCGCTCAAAAACTCTGATACTCATCTCCCCACATGGCTTCGATTAACAGCGTGGTCGTGGAACAGGTGACCAAGTCCGTCCTGCGTGTGGAAACTGCCGTACACGTCTTATCACTTGTTCGTATACCAAAAGAAGAAGGAAACCAGGTAAATGTGTTGTCCTAAGGTTGCTTCGACTTTGTTTTCTAATACGTGTTACGGCGTTTTCCAGGACCTCCAAAAGGATGCACAAAACGACTCAAACCCTCGACTTCTACTGAACTGACCGCCTGTTCAGAGTTAAGTGGCCGAGCTACAGACACAACCGTTTGCACTGATGGCTCAGATGGTATACCATCTAGAGCTTCGAATCGAACAAGAACTAATGGCGATGCATCCCTTATGTCTTGGTCTGAGCATGTCTTGGGAAGACCCCTATCATACGGCCCGAACGTCAGCCTCGAGATGGAAACTTACCTGTTAGTGAACAACATTCAGCCATGAAGCAACGCGAAGTAAGACTTGAGGAACTAACAGAGCGCTCAAGATTAAATCTATACTTCAAACACATCCAACCAAACTATCCACTACTCGAGACTTGTCCAGACAGACGACTCAGAAGTGCGCTGCGCATGTCACCCCGCCTCAAAATGGCCCTGTTCACCGTGTCTTCACGCTTCGCGAACCCAGGCGTCATACCGTGGTCACCAGAAGACTTTGCTAACCGAGCTCAAAGTCTCTCGAGCGACTCGGAACTGAGCGTAGATGAACTGAAAGCATCTTTTCTCCTGTGCCTTCACGCCATGTCTGACTCCTTGACGTGGGCAACTGTCACCGAAACCACCAAGATCACCAGGATGGCTGATTTGTACTACACGATGTGCCTTGGAGGACAGCGTAACGTGTCTGGCAGGGCTTTTGATCTCAATAGCGAGAAGGACGCCGGCGGTGGGGATGGACTGGCAGCAAGACGACGGGACGAGGCGGAGGACTTGGATGCTGAGATGGAGGAGTGGAACAGGGTATGGTGGTGCATCTACCGCCTTGACTCCTGCTGCTGTGCCATCACGTAAGTCTTGCTTGGGCATGCCTGTGAAGTCATCGCTACTGTGCTAACACGGAAGCCTTCAAAGTGCATCACCAAACGCGATATCGAATCGCCTCGAAGAGAAGATCAAGCTCACTTCTGAATCACCTACCGAGTCCATGACCCAGCCGTCTCTTGACTCTGAACACAATCAGGACCTATCGCAGCACGAGTCTCTGAGCAGATCAACGCATCCGAAACACTGGCGGACGATGAAAGCCATCTTCTCACAGCCGGCATGTACGAATCAGAGCCTCTACCTCGGCGTATGCACCTTTGTGAGATCCGTCACAGAACTCAGATCCCTAGTCAAGTCCGGCCGCACCAAAGGCCTCGAGAACCGCCTGCGAGAGCTCGAGAGCGACAGCGCGGCCACGGCGTTTGCGTTGCCTTCGTGGTACTTTCAGCCCGTGAGGAATCTGAGCGTTGGCGAGACGGGAGGAGACCACGCGTCTCGGTTGAAGAATTTGCTCGTCTGGTCCTGGTAAGCACTATGATCCTCGCCCGACGTCGTGCCCGTATGAAATCGGACCAGTGAAGCTAATAGTTCCAGCTCCGACTTGCTACTCGCCATCTGTGCCGTGGAGATGAGCGGCTCGTCGACCGCGGCTGCTCCCGATCTCACAGCACACTGGCACTCGATCTTGGACAAGGCAAACGACGCGGCCGAAGTCGTCGGAAAATGGAAGCCCGCCTACCTTGACGTTGTTGACCCGTTGTGCTCCTACATTGTTCTTTTGGTCGGCGCAATCTTCTCTTTGCAAAGAGCGCTCTCGTCCGAGATGTCCCTTTTCTCCTCCCAGCTTGATCTGCTGGAGTTGTTTATGGAGCAGATAGGGAGCCGTTGGCCTATTGGTGAGTATCGCTCCTACCAGCCTCTTTCACAGCCCCTTCTTTCTAACATGTTTGGGATAGCAAACCGCCTCGGCAGTAAGTACTTTTCCTTCATGGTTTCCGAAGATGAACAAGCTGACCCAAAGGGCGGAAAAGAATCACTTCAATCCATACAGAGAAACTTGTCTTCAGGAAAGTCTACTTGTACCCTTGAGACGGCGCTCACCTATGTCCGCCAGTTGACTCACCCTTTCGATGGGCAACCTGTCCACCCTGTTTTGAAAGGTGATGCCCCGGGAGCTATTATATCGGGACCTACAGAGGCAAGGGACGCAAGCAACGGATGCTATTCTAACACGCATGAGGAGGGATATGGTCATTATTATGGCCTCGACGATGTTGATTTCGCGAGTCTGGAGGGAGTCTTTGGCGACATGGACCCGATGGACATGCTGCTGCAGGTAGGTTGTTGAGCAGGAGCGTAATAACGTGTTACTCCATTAATACATTGGTTATGCATGATCTCGGACAGCAAACGATCCTTCGGAGTACGTGCACAGGAAGGAACTTGCATTTGTGCCTACAAATACCAATAGCCGTATTTATGCTCGACAGAAGGCCGGGCTCATAACGAGGATATGAGATGAACTCAAGTCTCAAGTTGAGGGCCGCATAAGCTCTAGGACGGCAGGAATGCCATCTGGTGACAGGTGCGCCACATCAGATGCTGCGCATGAGAACCTTTGTGCTACCCGTGAAATGTTTGGAACAGCTTTGTTTTCTCACCCTGATCTAAAACAAACATGTGAAAGAGAGGCTGTTCGGCGCATGAGGGGGAGGGCGGCGACTTTGTTGGCTGGTAAGTGACGAACCAATCGTCTGTTGTTTTTCATCCCTTTGCCAGCATTAATATGATGATCCCCGGGGTTTCCAAGCAATTGAAGGAACTGGAAAGCTTTGTCGGTCCGTTGTTTGTAAATTGCAGGATGAGGCAGGTGAACGTGCTCGGAAACATTCATTTGCATTGTTTAATCGCGACCTGTCACGGACGATTCCGTTGGAGCTCTGACGTATGCACGTAAGGGCATGAACATGTTCTGGGGGTCGTAGTACAGGATTCAGTTAGGTTCAGGGGGGATGATGAGTTCAGATTATCGTAATCCCGAAAGAGCCGTCGTTACGAACTGCACTGGGAGGCCTCGTGTTGGCGAGATGAGGAGAAGATGTATGACGGGAGATATTGTAGAACAGAATGGAAGAGTGAGAGATATCGGGCAAGATGCCTCAAAACTTCGATTCAGTGAAGCTCAGAGTGACAAGTCGCTGAACAGTCGATAACCACTCTTATACGAACGAGTATTGGGACTCAAGGCATCAAACATGTTCGTGCCCACGGCCAGGCCTGCACCGCATAGCATGAACGACCTTATTGCAAGCGCCCCTTTCCGTGCCGTGCCGCGATGGGGGCCAAAGCTCTCGATGCAACCACTAAATTTTTTTTTTACTATGTTTTTTTATTCCTTAGCATTACTGAATAACGCTCCTGTTCTGGCGGGTGGCGGGCAGGAAAGGGTGCGAGCGGCAGTGAAAGGCCAGGGGCACGCGCGTAAACCAAGGAGGTTCATCCCAGGCGCGGGAACCCGGAGCGGGTACGGAGCACTATAAAGTAAAAATGTCAGGGAAGGGACTTGTTGTGTGAACAGCTTTCTTGGTTCTTCTGGTGAAAGAACTGGGCGGTGGGTGTCCGGTTGGTGAGAGGGCATCCCTGGTTGTGCTACTAGAGAAGTTCGCGGCAATGAGTGAAAGATTGAAATTGGGGCTCAAGAGTCTGCTGTGGTCCATTCTCATGTTCCACGTGCGGCACGACTGGGCTCAAGTGGTGACCCTATGAGTGAGAGCGTAGGTAGACAACAGAATTGATGGGCAGGTAAACCATGAGGTCATTGCATTTTTGGCAGTCCCAAGGGATCGTCCACGTTCTGGCGATCCAGGGTAAATCAGGGACTGTGCATGTTTAGTGCAGTTGTAACGGCCAGGACTGGCACAACGTCACGGGGTTTGGGCTGGCACGCTGGCTAGCTTCTCATCAGACGGTGTGAGTGAGCGTGTCTGCGTGTGTGCCTCTCATCTTTCCCCGAATCTCCGAAGGGCTCACTATCAGCAATCTTTGGGGGGGACTGGCGGTCAGGTTTCTAGGGGCGTGTGGTGCGAGTGTGATGTCTGTTGTGTGATTTGTGGTGCGTGATGTGACCTTGGACGATCTTGGGCGCCTGATGAGTTGGCATCCGTTTTTGGCACGCATACGCAATCCTTCTCTACCCGTCTTGGGGATCCGCGGGCGGTAAGACCTAGGCTGAGAAGGTTGGAGGACTGAGACTGGACATTTGAAAAGAATGGCGGTGGCTACGGCTCTGGCTTCGGCGACGTGATTCTACTCGGAGAGGAACTTGCCCGAAAGGTACCATCTGAAATATGCTTTTTGATAGAGAAGATGAGGCTATGTATAAGCTCTATTCATATCGGTATGGATACAGGTATCTCATTGAGTCATGGTCCGGCGCGGCCCTCGGGATGCGGTAGCTGGCTAGCTGCCGCGAAATCGCAGGTGGCCAAAAGCTGATTTCGAACAAACCAACTTGGACGCCTCGGATCCATGTGTGATTGGGCACTTGTTGGTTCTTGTCTCTCACGAAAGATCCATGGCTGCCCCTGAAGGGTGCTTAGGTCAGTCCTAGACTTGAGCAACGCAACGTCTGTATTCAGGACGACAGTCGGAATTTGGAGGAAAGAGGTACAGAGGGCGAGGCAGATGAAGGGAGGCCCGATTAACTGCTGACGGCGATCGGGCCCGGGGTTCTTTGGGTTCCCGTGCCCCGCGGCACTAGTGGTGATATGAACAGTGGACTGGAGGACGAGTGAAGGTAAGGCAACGCGGAAGTCAATATCGCCATCTGTAAATGCACACCTTGCGTGTTTCGAGCCTCTCTCGCTTCTGTGAAGCATTACTACGAGGGGGATATGTGTGTCTCTGACAGGGTGAGTCTACTTTTCCGATAGACGTGAGCGCCGAGGCCACATGCCGACTGCATTTCCACAATCTCCATCGTCTTGTTCGTCATGTTTTCTATTCTGGAACAGAAACCCCAGAGGATCCGTCGCTTTGCGACAAACAGAGACAATCAAAGGGGGCCGACCAGGGACGAGATGAGGGCGCAATGTCCCAACGGTTGGTGGTGCACCCCGCTCTGCAGGCTGACAACGAGGGTCTTCCAGCTGCGCAGGGGAAAGTTTTCTGCAATCTGTTGCTCTTGCCTATACGAAGGAGAGGGGAAGGGGGGCCCGCCAACGGGGCGGTCATGCATGTACATAGAGTGGCAGGTCGTTGATATTAAGGTGTTGACGGGGGGAACGGGATGGTTCTGGACAAGTGTGTCTGTATGCGACATGTCACGCGTACAAATGTCCAGGGGCATTTGATCCATTGCGGCTCCCTTTGGGCCTTTGCTTTGGTGAAAGCTGGCCCCTCACTCCTGAGATCTCGGAACGAGTTGAAATATAGTAACGTGATAGCAGAGGGACTGGACCGTGTGAGGGGCGAGGGAAGGGGATGAGACGTGGTAATCGATGTACCGCCATTTGAGCACAATATCAATATCTAGCGAAGTGCTATCGAATGCATGTCTGATTTCGCGGCGGCATAGGGATATGCAGGAACAAAACAGGAGTGTGGCTGTGAGACACACTCACGGTGGATCAGTGCAAAAACCTGTAACTTTGGCAGTGACGAGACTTGATGATGAAGTGATGGGATAGGGATATGTTGGATATGAGGACTCGGGAGTTCCAACTTCCAAGGGTCAAAGTGAGGGCAGGTTTAAGGAGCTGCATGCATAGTGAGGCTCAGTCGACGATCCAATGCTACCTACCGGAGTGCATATCCACGTATCCACGGAGGAGGTCGTTGAAAGGGGAACAGAGGTGGTGGGTGCTATGAATAGTACGGACATGAGAGTGGGAAAAGGGGACCGCTTATGTATGTACGTGTATGCAAGGACCGCGGGGTCTTCCGTCCCATGATTTTGACGTCTTATGGAGTCAGGGCCATGGTGGTGGCAGAGAGGTTACTCGGGAAGAACTTCAAGAGATGTATCGACGGCCATCGGCGACTGGTGGCATATTTGAGGCTCCTTCAGGCTCCCCCTCCCCCTTCGAGACGCCTTCTACGGCCCTTGACAAGTCGAGATTGGATGCCGTGGCTTGGTAGTCGAATTTGACCCAGTTGGCCGGAAACACGGCGTCAAGCACGTCTTGGGGCTGGGCTGGGCGGCGGGACTTGCTGCTGTCCCTGTGTGTTCTTGACCAGTGAACGGTGACCGTGTCGGCGAGAGCGAGACGGGGGACTCACCAGGGGCCCTTTGGCGGCGAAAGATTACCTAAGTATGCCTAGCTTCAATGTTTGGTGTAACTTGGAGGAGAATTGGGACAGTGAACTCTGAAAAAGAAGAGAGAGAGACACAGCGAGAGAGAACAAAAAGCGAAGAGGTCGCCGGCTCATTTCGAGCCCCGGCAACAGGACCCAGAGACCGGTGGGCGGCCAAGCCTTATTGGGCCATGGACCCCACTACCGCAGCCCCGCCGTCGGCCACTCAGAGATGCGTATTTCTCTCTCATTTGGAGAGGTGGATCTCCAAGTATCTCTGCACGTAATCAGTGGTGGAGGTATACATATCCGCCCACTCACCCAGCCCCTTCCCCTTCCCCCATTCAGGAACATGGCGCCTTACCGCCTAAGGTACCAAACCATCCAGAAGCTTAGGTAAGGCGCGGGAGGAAGTGGGCAACAGGGCGAACATCCAGCCGGCCAGTGGATACCAGAGTACGTACAGGGAACCTGTGCACCCGCCTCCCACTTTCATTTTCTGCCACTCGCCCACTGAAGTTTGAACTTGCCATCACTGCCAGCGTCCTCCCGAGTCCCGCCCCTCTGCTGAACATCCTGCTTTCAGGTGAATTTGAGGTGGTAAACCTTGGAGTACGTACCTCTTGACGGACTGTCGATGGAAGATAACCTCCACTGTCCTGTCCACGCCGGGCTACCAGCGTCTCTCAGTGGTTCTGTGTTGTGATCAGTGGTACCGTCAGGGGCCCGGTGGCTTTCTTTCAGTGGGCCGGGCCGCCTGTTCGGCTCTTCCTGATGTGTCTCCAGCGTCTCCCTCCCGGCTGATGAGGCCTGCCTACCTCACCTGTGACCCGTAGTTTCGTCAGGTACCTCACGGTACTGGACACTGCCTATCTGTACGTAGTACTGCCCTGCAAGACGTCTCTTCCACCAACGTGGACCCGTAACCTTGTGCGCTCTCGCCGTCTCTTTGACCTGAACCTCTCTCATCGTCAAAACCTCTCTTCCCCGGCTTTCCTTCCTACTCCCTCTCTTCATCCAACCGGCCACCACCACCCACCTCGTCATATCATGCGCCGCGCCGCCGTCGAGACATGCCCGAGCCATTGATTTATCCTCTCCCGTCTCTGTCTCTGTCTCCGTCTCCGTCTCGACTCGCAACCCTCCGCATCTTCTCCGACGCTTCCTCCTCTCTGTTCGTCTAGTCCTCCATCCCGACAAAGACGAACCTGACGACTTCGACCGCCTAGTCAGGAGCGACGCATCGTCCCCAATTTCCCATCTTTGCTCCTGGTACTCGTCGATCTTCACCATCGACAGCGACAACGTCGACCCCCGTCAATTGCACGCCTAGCGAAAGTACGATACCCCCCAAACCTCGACGATCCATACGAACAAACGGCCGCATTGATTCGACTTTTGCGTTGTTTTTTCTTTCATCGGAAAACAATGTGCTGAGACTTTGCTCGGCCTGTTCTGTTTTCTTTCTTTCAATCCAACAAACGAACCATCCAAGGACTCGATAATATCGCCATCCTGCCGCTGATACCCCCACGAACAACCAGGAGAAACTAGAGACAAAATAACGACATCGCTCAGAATAGTAGCAGTAGCCGTTAACACCCCCCCCCGTCACATCCACTCCCACATTCAGCTACGTCCAGCCTCCCGACGTCTCGAACCCCGGCCGACCGACCATGCCCACCTACCTCACCCGCGAGAACGCCCCCGTCTACTCGCCAAATTCCGACTTTCTGGACCTCGACCCAAACAACACGCTTGATCTGTCTGGCCACAAGCACCCAATTGACGGGCTCTCCCATACCCTACCGCTTCGCCCATCGCGCTCAAACAACCTCCATGATAGCTTCGACGAAAGCTCAACCTCATCAACCCACGCCTCAGACGTCTCTGATTCCATCCCCAATCAGATGAATGGGACGAGGCCGACTAGCATGAGCTCGTTGCCCAACGGCTCGGCAGGGGCCGGAGGAGGCGCAGACTTTGATTATCACGACCACGACTCTCATCACCACGACCAGTACAACGATTACAAGAACCAGAAACACCCGTTACAAAATGGACACACCGTCACCATGCCCGACCGGACAGCTCCGCCGCCGCCCATCACTATCATCAAGAAGCCATCTTCCGATACCGAGCAATCGAGCCCGACGGATAACTACCTTACGCCGCCATCAATTGGATCGCCTGCGGCTGGATCCATCGATCATACCATAAAAACAAACGGGACTAGCAGTCCCAACTACGCACCTCCAGCAATACCGTCACAAGGTAGACTTGTCAACGGCCACACAACGCCCGTTGCAGCACCCAGCAACGCATCGCTGTCCCCAGATCCCACCGCCAACAACCAACCGGCATCACCGCAACGCTTCTCGTCTCCGCCGCTTTATCAATCCGGTGGTGCTACCCCTAACGGATCGACACCGACGGGCCTGCAACCGCCAAATGGCGGATTGAAACATCGACATACGCTCGAGGTTCCCGGCACCCAATCCAATCGCGCTTCTAAAGATGGCTCCGATACGGGCTTCTCCAGCGGTCGCTTCTCTCCCACAAGCACCACGCAAAGAGTGCGTAGGGCGTCCCTTAATCTGGTGCGGAGAGATACTCGCTCCATGCAGTCTGATGTACCGCGTGACGAGGTGGTGCCCGACGAGGAAGCCCTGCGCTGGGCCGAACATTATCGACAGAAGCGGGCGAGTAAGAGGAAGAGAAAGGAAGAGGAGGATGACGATAGAGTCTTGGTCGGCACAAAGGTCGATGAACATCACACCAACTGGGTCACGGCCTACAACATGTTGACGGGCATCCGTGTCTCGGTGTCCCGCACGAACGCGAAGCTCGACCGGCCCCTTACGGATGCTGACTTTGAGGCAAAGCAGAAGTCGACTTTTGACATGTACGTCAAGTCCCGTGTTACCCACGTGCTTTGCAAGTTTACTAATTTCTTCAGTGCCGGAAACGAGTTGGTGCCCTCGGCGAAGTACGATTTCAAATTTAAGGATTATGCGCCGTGGGTATTCCGACATCTACGCGGCCTGTTTCGCTTGGATCCCGCAGACTACCTCATGTCTCTGACGGGCAAGTATATCCTGTCCGAACTGGGTTCCCCTGGAAAGAGTGGTAGCTTCTTCTACTTCTCCAGAGACTACAAGTACATCATCAAGACGATCCACCACGCCGAGCACAAGTTCCTCCGCAAGGTCCTCAAGGACTACTACCATCACGTCACCGAGAACCCGAATACGCTGCTATCTCAATTCTACGGTCTCCACCGTGTCAAGATGCCCTACGGAAAGAAGATTCACTTCGTAGTAATGAACAACCTCTTCCCTCCCCACCGGGACATCCACACCACTTTCGACTTGAAGGGATCTACGATTGGCCGCGACTATAAGGAAGAGGACCTGGACAAGAACCCTCGGGCGACGCTGAAGGATCTCAACTGGATGCGCAGACAACGAAACCTCGAACTTGGCATCCAGAAGAAGAAGCTATTCTTGGAGCAGCTGCAAAAGGATGTGGTCTTGATGAAGAAGCTCAAAATCATGGACTACTCTCTGTTGATCGGTATCCACGATTTACAGCGAGGGAACGAGGAGAATCTTCGAGGAAAGACTCTTCAGGTCTTCAACCCCGGCGGCGAGCAAGAAGATGGTGAGCCGCCATCGGTTCTCTTGCGAACGCCTTCCAAACTGGAGAACGCTCGCAAGGCGCGGGAGCTGCGCAATATGATCAGGCACGAACGGCCAGTGCCCATGGGACAGACTGCAGCTCAAATGCCAGACGAGCTCGATGAGGGACATAGCAGATCGGGATACATCTTCAATCAGGACGATGGTGGATTCCAGGCGACCCATGAGGACAACTCTCCAGCCGATGAGATCTACTACCTGGGCGTCATCGACTGCCTGACTCACGTATGATTTCTTCCCGCGCTTGCTGTTTCATTGCTAACTTATTGTATAGTACGGAATGATCAAAAAGATTGAGCACTTCTGGAAGGGACTGACAAGCGACAAGACCAAGATCTCCGCTCTTCCCCCTGAACAGTACGGCGACCGATTCTACAACTTCGTCGAGGGTATCACGATGTCCCCTGAAGAGGCGATTAGAGAGAAGCAGCGGAAGGACCAGGAGCAGATCGAGGCAGCTGCAGCTGCGGAGAGACAGCGTGTTGCCAGCTGGAGCTCGAGCATGCGCCGGAGGTCGGGGACAAACAACATTCCCCCAATGCCCGACTACCGACCTCCGCCAACCCCGCCTAGCGCTCCAATGTCACCCGAAGCACGCGAAACCGTCGAGCGAGCCCAGCAAGATGCCCGAAGATCCGAGAGACACGGGGCTTCCGAGCTCAACGTTCCAGATGTCGTCCTGTCGACAACCAAAATGAACGAACGGCGAGAATCTGGTGGCCAAGGGGCTCCTATCTTACCTGTAGTTGAAGAGGCAGGAGAGGCTTCATCGCTAGGCGGCAGAAGCAGAGACGGGGCAGCGAGTCGTGATGGGGATGACCACCGACCGGCTACCCCAGCGAAGCCTGGTATGGAGAGCAGATTCGCCGGACTCAGGGACTATGCGCCGCCGACGCCGCCCAAGGGACATCATCTTAAGCCCGAAAGTCAAGACAGCGGCTACGGGGCGCTGCCCAACGGAAACGGTTCGACAATGAGCAGAGAGGACTCGCTTAACATCAAGCCTCGCCTTAGCAAGGACTCGCTGGATAAAGCCTTGCCGCCGCTGCCAAAGGAGGCTGGCGGACAGAGCAGCTTCCGCATGGGCCTGGCCTAGGGCGCAAGCCGCCTCTTGCGGAACAACAGCAGACGGATCCGTGGCGTTGGGAGTAAGAGTGGGAGCAATGACGAAGCAGGGGACGACACGCGACGGGAAGAGAAGGGTGGATGAAGCATGAGGAGCAGAGAGGGAGAGAGACAGAGACGGGTCGACAAATCAACAATTGCATCAACGGGGTCAATGACAATTTCTGCAAGCTCGTTCAACGAGGTCTCACAGCGACCGAGGCAACAGAGAGCCGAGACGAGCCACAGAGCTTTTTACTAGTGTTTTCTCTCATGGATGATACCACCATTGCATTGAGCATGCTTCTTCTTTTTTTTTATTCAAACCTTTTCATTTCTCTCTCCTCACACCTTTTTCCTTTGGTTTTATTATCAAACCTCTTTTTTTGTTCTCTTGTTTTTCGCCCATACAGAAAGTCTCTCATACATAAAGGTCATCACGTAAAAAATCATTGTTTTCCGCCCCCGGTGATGACCAACCTCTGCTGGGAATCAAAGGCAAAAGGGAGAAAAAAAGAATTAGGAGTCGTGGGATGGGATTGGTGGAAAACTTTACAGCGATATTCAAGAGGGCGCTTTTTATTCCCTTCTCATAATATGGATGGGGTTGGGTGCGTCTAGGTAGCACAAATAGAAGGTCGGTTCTCAACTGTGTCGAAGACAAGTTTGCATTGTGATGTGTTTCTCAGTAACGTAGATGCCTGGCTTTTGAAAGTAGCCGTGCTTGGCTTATTGATGGCTAGTGGTTCTTTTGTCATCGTGATTTACATTATTCTACAGACGTTATTCTGAATCCCGCCGGACCCCTGAGGAGTGAAGTTTATAGAAACACAGTGTTGTACACCAGCGAATAATAGCTGGAGGAAAGGGAGGTCTTCTGGTATCAAAGGGGCCATATACAGTTGCCGAAAACTCGGTATCGTCAGACAGATTAGCCAGAGAGAAGAAAGCTGAGGTTCCGCCCGAAATCTGACTGGACGTGGTGTTTGGTTGGTTCGTTGGTTCACTTTAGACTTGTTTCTTTGTCTTGAACTCGAAGGGTCTCCGTCTTACTGCCTCCTCGAGGCGAGCATATCCTGCAGATCGACCTTTGTTGGCGTCGGTCCCTTGGAGGAGGAGGGGGCTGAGGGCTGGTCGGCAAAGGTGGTGGTGACGTCCATCTTGATTGCGTTTTCGGCTTCGAGCTGGGCTATGCGCTGCTTCTTTTGGAGGTCTGCTACGCGCCATTGCTTAAAGTATTTTACCTAGAAGAGGAGGGTTAGTGTTAGTTTTGGGTTTGTTCGGAGCGAGGGTCTCCGTTCGAGGTCCAGAAGTTGGTGTTTGTTTCAATTGTCTTTGTTGCGTGAACCGGTAACAGCTTTGGTCAAAGGTCCTGCCGCTGGGGTAGCAAGAAGCTACACCCATGATCGCAAGGAGCCTAAGGACGACTGCGCAAGGAGGAACGGGATTCGAGCAGGGGGGGACACGGCACGTACCCAAGCAGCAGCGCAATCCCGCTCAAAGACCTGGTTCTCGGCGGGACAGGCCTTGCGGGCTTTAGCATCGTCCTTGAGGGCGTCGACGATGACGTTGCGGTCGAGGCAGCCAAAGTATGCGTCGCGGGCCTCCCAGCACTTGCGGCGTTCGCTGCGGTCAGGGGCGACGGCTCCCGTGCGGACTTCTTCGGCGCGCTTGGCTTCTTCGGATTGGAAGGAGGAGAAGAGGCCCATTGTGTCGACGAGAGGGGGACGTTCGGGTTTTATGGTGTGGTGTCAATATCGGGAGGATCGGGAGGGGATCGATGGATCGTGAGTTTGGTGGTGGGTGCCGGAGGAAAGTTTGGTTGAAGAAGCAGGCTTTTGACGTTATGCGGGTTGATCTGGCGTATGCGCTCGACGAGTGGCGGTTCAGATAAAGTCTTGACGACTTCTGTAGATCTTGAACAACGCCGCGAAGTTCGAAGTGGAGGGCCGGCAGAATATCGAGCGGTGGCCTAGAGTGGGATAGTTTACTCTACCGGGGTGGCTCTGTCACGGCTCAGCTCCAATGTGAGCCTTGCCTCATTCGTCCTTAGCGTGGCGGGTGCCGATTGGAAGCTCTGCCGTTGCGATTCTAGGCAGGCACAGGCTCACCGGCGCGCGCCGCAGAAAGACAGAAAGTGTGGCGCAAACTGGCCCAGCTGACTCCAGCCACCAAAACTGTCAACATCCCGCTGCTTCCCTTGTGGCACATCCTTCCCAACGTGACAGCTTGGACGCAACAAACCACGAATCACATTGAAATACGTTCAAAAGACGGAAACGATCCCCACGAGAACGAATCGACGCTGGGGTCTGACATTTTACGCAATTTCCCCAGCCTTTGATTGCCAATAGGGACGCAAGAGCTTATAAGCGGCCACGGAGATTTGCTCCAGGGAAGAAGGGATTACGACCGGGGGGTGGTCTGGGAGTTTCTTATTGCGAACCGCAAAGGAAAGCTCGATCATGCTCCGCCGGTAGCGAGATTCGCAAGACCAAGAACAAGACAGAGCGCACGACCGTCTTTCGCAACGACACCTAGACAAACTCTCTCTCCCTTCCTTTCGACGACGACCACGAAAACAACGACTCATTCAACCATCTACATTACTCCAGAAACCTACCTACCATAGCGTTCCTCGAAACCCGAAGCAACCAAACCCTCCGAAACAACCGTGACCTCAACCCGCCATGCCCCGCCGTCGCAAGCCGCCCCGGCCGGGCGCCCTCAACGACCTGCCCCCACTGCGCATCGCTTCGCAGATCGCGGCGTTACAAGGACTGTACTATGCCGGAGCACTGGTGTTGATGCTCTTCTCAGCGCTCGTCGCTGGTACGGGGTTCACGTTGGATCTTGTCTTTGGGTGGGAGGCTGTTCGGGGGGATACGACGCAGGGGTGGTTGGGAGCATTCTTGTGGGTTCTGGATGGGGGTTTCTGCATGTGAGTTCTCCCCTTTTTCTCCGTCCTTCATACGGGACATTTGGGCTGGAAGCATGTGGCTTCTGGGGGGCTGGAGCTCGTTGGGTGAAGTGAGAAAGGACGCGAGCGAGCAAGGGCATGAGCTTGAAGACCAGCGCTAACATACAACAACAGGGCTGTCGCAATCATCATCCTCATCGGCCGTTCAAAGCTCGTACCCGACTTCGCGCTGACGATGCATGGTCTACACCTCGTTGTCACGAGCTTATACACCGGCCGCATCCCACGGAACGCAATGTGGTGGGGTGCCATGGCGGCCAGTTCGGGTATCTGTGTAGCGTTGGCCGTTTGGGGGTCCAGATACCGCGAGCTGAGGCCCATATCGTTCGGCGGTGGAGGCGGTGGAAATACCGGGGGCGGTGCTGGGAGCAGTGGTGATGGTGCCGCGCAAAATGGTGGCACCGGAGACGAGGAGGATGGGCTCGGGTTCTCCAGGGGACGTGGACGTGGAAGGGGGAGGGACGGGGAAAGCGGGTATGAGATGGTCGGGATGGATCATGAGAGACGGAATTCTTGATTGAGCTGAGTAGCTTTGAGAGAGGGGAATGGCAGCAGAAGGGGGTTTGGGACTAGCCGCGAGGCTGGAGGGTATGACACATCATTGCTTGGCGTTATCGGGATGTACGAGTATCGAGGATAGATGATCCGGATTGTGTACAGTTTGCATGGCTGTGATGACGCAGGAATAGACACTTGGAAGGCCTTGAGGCTTATTGGGTTCGAATGGGTTATAAACATCCTCAGAATCATTGTGATGCCGATTCTTTAGGGCTGCCAGGCTCGTGAGAGCCAGGTATCAGGTTGCCTGAGGTCTGCCGAAGTCCGTCAAACATAAGCATGTATTAGACTAAATGTCTGTAGACCATGTTATACTGGGAGTCAAATAAGGTAGGCCATGGAATACTATCCTCGCTTGGTTAGACCACTGTGTTCGTCGAACCCCTACTTCGATAGTGGTCGGCTGGAGTTTCGTGATGAAAGAAGAGGACGCTGCATACCGAGTCTAGCGGTTACCAAATGTGAACGTCGGACGATTTGCTTTTGAAGCTGATCAAAAGGTTGTGGAGAGATGTGGTGATCCTGCAAGGGAAGTGGGCGAGGGAGGCTGAGAGTTTAAGCCCAGTCTCCCAAGTATCTTGTTATTGAAGAAAGTAAATGCTTGTGAGTCACAAGTACGAGAATACAGTTTTAAATGAACAGCGTAGTGTGTACCCATTACTTGAAATGACATGCTTTTTCAAGCCTGCCATAAGAGAAAGATGACTGTACTGCTAACTGCTTCCCATCGTAAGCCCAGTCTCAACCTCCAGGACCTGCATTCGTGGGGCATTGAGGCTGAACCGAGAAGAGGCTTCCATTCCTCTATTCCGAGATGTGCATTGCCGGAGTTGCACCAGAACTCGTAACTATTTGGAGGTCTCACACATGGCCAATTGCAACCGCATCTACTGCTGACGGCTTGGTGAAAATGGCGAATCGCATATCTTACCACAAGCAAGGGGAACGCCACAGGTACTTGCAGCTCCAGCCTCGTCCAAATGTGTTGGAACATGTCTTGCTATAGATAAAGTAGCCATCTTATTTATACACTGATCTCCCTCGATACAGCCTCGCGTTACTCTCGCGTCTGATTTTCTCTCGCAAGATGGTCGATTCTCTTTCTTCAAGTGCCATGTACTCTCCTATCTTGCTTTCACTGCGCAGGGCTCCGATTGCTTCTAATGAAGAAAGCAACGATTCAATAGAGCTGTCCCCTCAACAACCCTCAACACCCGTCGAAGAAGAATGCGGTTATTCTTTCCAGGAGACCAGAGATATGTCTATGAACGACGAACATAGGGCCTTCCTTGCCCCAAACATGGTAGACATCTCTGATCAAGAGACTTTACACCCCACGTCAGTTTCGGAGGTGTCCTCGGTGGACTCGGAAGAAGAGCTTCCCCAACAGTTGACCTTGAAGCTTGCTGAGAACGAAGTCCCAAACCACGAGCAGCCAAATACACCACCGAACAGCGGATTATCCGTAGAATGGATCTGGTCAGTGTGGTGGGTAGAGATGTTCAGCAGCGTTCTAGCATTGGAGTGCATCTCTGCGATAGTTATTATCCTATCCGTTTACCGAGGGCAACCTCTTCCCAACTGGCCAAAGCTCATATCAATCAACTCCTTGATCGCCGTCTTCACGGCTGTGTTCAAAGCTGCGCTCATACTTCCTGTCGCCGAAGGTAAGTCTCTGTCTCTCGTCGATGGGCTGACGGTGTTTGAAAGGCATGCAAACATTCTAACTTGTGATGGTCATTAGGCTTAGGACAGTTGAAATGGAACTGGTTCGATCGATCTCAAACGCTAGGTGATCTCGTCTTGTTTGACAATGCGAGTCGAGGGCCGTGGGGGTCAGTTCTGTTGATGAAGAGATGCATTCTTCTGCCGAACATTAGAGGGTAAAATGTGTACTTAATCATTGTTGAGGTTGGCCTATTGACGATTTGACAGATATTTGGCTGGACTTGGTGCATTCATCACCGTTGCAGCCCTTGCAATCGACGCTTTTTCCCAGGCTACAATCAACCTTGGCTCTTGTGATATCACGGCAGAGTTCGGTATAGCCGAAGTGTCTCGGACGAACAACTATTCGGGCAATCCTCAACAGCGCGACAGCTCCCTCGATGCTGCCCCCATCACCTCGAATCAGAAAATGCGGAAGGCTATCAATAAAGGTCTTGTGGACCCTGCAAAGGCTGGAGAGCTAATCAACTTCGCCTGCACCTCTCGCAACTGCACATTCACGCAAGACGGCGGAGGAGGCTACTTCTCGTCTCTCGGAATATGTTACTCTTGTAAAGACATTACAGACAAAGCCGTCTTCGAACCTTTTACCAATAGATCAACACCGGCTTCCAACGTTTTGACGTGGTACCTTCCATGGAGTAAAAACAAAACTGACGAGAGGATCCTCCAAGGGGAAGGCGGTGGTACACTTCTGGGATGGCACTTCGCGGGCGTCTAGATGTTCGATAACCTGTCACGATTCTCGAGTGACCAATAATGATCCTTTTGATGTTTTTTTGACATCCATATTTGTCCATGGCCGCTGTAGCTTTTACCCTATTTTGTGTTCATGTTGTTTAATCAAGTCAAGACACCAGATATTCAAGTCGCAGCGTAAGTTGGGATGTGTATCAGGTGAGTGGTCACATGTATTCAAGCTGACTGAAGTGGAATATGCAAGTATATTCATGTTGGTATCCTAGAAGACGTTACGCTCTAAATCAATAATGCATCCCCCCCTTCGCTCCAAGTCAGATGCCTTACTATCCCTTGAAAACCAAAAAATATTCGGTTTTGGTCAATCACACGAGAACCTAGCTCAACCGTTTGGTGATTTTGCCTATTTCAAGCAGCTGTGACCTCTTGGAACATTGTAGCATTTCAACTCCTTGTTCCTAGTGTAAGATGTAACGTTAGTACTTCTGCTTCCCTACGAATTATGATAGAAAGTAGTCTAACCTGCGGGGCACCCAGTAATGCAGGTGTTGGTCTGGCCTGTGAGGGGTCCTTTGCAGCAGTAACTGCCGCCGAGTGGTCGAATGTGGTCATTAGAGACTGATTGTGTGCAACCGTTGCATGAACCGCTTCCGTCGGGGAAAGTCCAAGCTTTAAAACAGCCAAAGTTGGAACATTGACTTGTGCCAGTGGTAACCTGTAGGTCGAAGAGCTCGGTCTCGTCAGGGCCGCATGCCGCGTAGGCATGAGCTGCGAGGAGAGCAACGAGAGGAAGGAGTTGGAACTTCATTTTAGCGATGGTGGTTGTGATGGAGAATGTTTTGGAAATGAAAAAGAAGTTGAGACTTGAGTGATGGTTGTTCTGGACAACACATGAAACTACGGTAGGATCCTTTGCCCTTTATACGAGATTCATCTATAATGGTAGGTGGAACTTCACGACTGACTTATGAATAGCTCCATTAGTGGACCGCTATGCCGCCATGCTCGATGGGGAACGCATAAGCGCACGCAACTTGTATCGAATCATTGCAAAAGTTCCGTTTCGTAGACTACGACTTCCTCGCGTTCGGCTGGGCTATGCCGTACGCCAGACCGCCTAAAGAGCGCATCACGTTCTACGCTTCTACGTAAAGGAGGCTGTGCACCATGATACGCTCTAAGGACTCCAAACAAATGGCCGGAGCTTCCAATAGTTAAATCGAATCATGCTACAAGCGTCCCTACGGAGAAATCCTGCCCCAGTACCTCCTAACGATCACGGTGCTTGAGTGCAAGAGACGAGAATCATAAGAGAGATCTTCCAGTTGTAGTCGTAGTGAATAAAGTTCAACCCTCTGACTGCTGTTTTATCTCTAGGCCCCTGAAAACTTGTCGCAGGGGAGACCACAAGGCAATACCATGGGCGCATAGGGGCCCATCCACGCCTCATGAGCATCACGATTCATGACCGCCCTCGCTTTGCCCGGGGATGACCGATCGTCCCGTCCTTTGATGGCTACTGACCAGTAAATACCGCCGGCACTGGCCTAGAATTCTTTCCTAAAGAAGTCGCAGGAAGTAATCCCTCCGTTCGGGAAACTCCCGATATAATACCGACCAGATGAACTGGGGGGATCTTGGCACTCCTTGTTTCGGTGGGACGAAATAGAGTTTGTGTCCCAATATCTAACCGGAAAACCGGCTTTGACGGGCGTGTAAAGACTACTGCCGGAGAGTTGGTTTTCATGAGTCGACAGGAATTGAATACGTGTATAACCCATTCTCCGGGCTCGGTAGAATCAATCGCCGATCGCATCAGGTTTGTCCGAGTGAGTCGCCCATGTATGAGTGCAGGGAGACAGTGGCAATTTGCAACTTGCTATTTAAACAGGCTCTCCATGAGTTTCCGCCAGCATCTGAGCCAAAGTTAGCAGGTTCAAACTTGACTCAAGAGGGAGCGAACGGCACGGTGTGTCAGTCCATGTGGCTGCTTCTGTGACTAGTCTGTAGTTGTTTTGTGTTGGATGGTGTACAATACTGCGGCTTGACCTCGTCAGGAGGAGTATTGACTTGTGAAAGTGGGCCAGGGGTAGCTCGCTCGGATAATCCCATCAACATCAAAGCGGAACTCTTGAAGGTGGAAAAGCTGTCCGTTCTTGGGAGGGCACATAGCTGATGGCAATTGTAATTCAGATTTATGGTAACTACGACATGAACCATAATCTTCTCGTTCGAACCAACTTAGCCCAAAGCAGAACTTTGACAACACGAGACCTATCTCCTGTCTGAAATGATACGGTCAGAAAAGTTGAAGAGCCACGATGAGAAGTTCAGTCTCATCAGTGATTTGAGAGCTTACACAAACGAAGACTTGCCTAGCAAGCGCTCCAGCACTTCACGGTCTCAAATCCGGGCTCGCGGCAGCAATAGTTTTGAGCCACAAGCCATTGATACTTGATCTCGCCCTTTCTGCAGCCGTTGCCGGCGCTATCTGTGCACCTTCCACTAAACAGAGACTCAGCATTCCATCTTAGGGAACATATGCACGACTTGGGCTCATTGGCTTAGCATGGGCAGCCAGCTGAGACGACGGATGCGGCGCCGAGAAGAAGCGAGAGTTGAAGAAGGATATTCATTGTTGAAGTGGTGCTTGAAACGGTTGGACTCGTGAAGGTAGGAGTTGAATCGCCGAAGATGAGAATGAACTGGTGCGGTTATGAGATTTTCATTCGCAGATGCAGAAGCTACCAGCTTGGTTTATATACTATCGAGCCCGTCCGATTTTGTGCTATATCAGTCTGCCTGAAGGCTCGGTTGCGTCGTATATTCACCGTCTCTTCAACCAATGAGTCGACACTAAGCTTAGGGTACATGGGTTCGTGATAGCAGAAACTGTCTTAAAATTGCGCCCCTACGATGCGGTGACTTCTCTATTCTGTTCAGCAAGAGAACCCTAGACCACAGTGAGCTCTGGCCAAGTCGCTATCCAATCTCAAGCAATGTACTTTTTAGAGGAACGCGATCGTCAACCTTCCAGAATTAATCGTACGGTTGAGAGCCGCAAAGCTTGTTCTGGCTAACCTGTCTTGGCAAGCGTGCGATAGGCACGGTCAGGATATTGGCATTCCTCAACAGACTTCGCATAGTCCTATATCTGCAATTTTCTTTTGCAGTTGCGAGACTTTGTCTGCCAGGCACTAGAACTTTTTGCTGACCGCTAGGATTGCGATCAGGGTCGCGGTAATACCGAAGGGAGAATCTTTGCAACTCAAGATGTTCGGCTACCTACTGAAGGCAGCACTAAAGATGTAAAAAGTCTCCGTCTCCTCAAAATCTCGCTGTCGGTTATTCAAAACCAAAATTTGGGAAGAAATCCGGCCTTATTTCCTGCAAAAGGACTCGCCGGGCTAAACTCGACCAGGCAGAGCAGGATCACAGGCCATGTCTAGCCAAAGTACCCCTAAATATCCATGAATGAGAAAGTACCTTTTAAGGAAATTTCCAAGTCGGATGGAGATCTAAGAGATGGAGTGGTCTAGGAACTATGGTCTACCATGGAATCCTTGAATCTGAGCGCATTGACAGCCATGTTATAAATGTCATCCGACCAATTGCTCTTTGGAGTCTATTATCAGACGAGGTGATTCAGATGAGATACGTGATCTAATGGCCTCAATGTCAATCGAGGCCTGTCTTTCACCTTGACATCGATTTCCAATCTGCGCGGCGGGCTGCTTTACCAGTTTCCGTGCGGCTAGCCTTAAGCCCACCTCCTTATGAATTGTGAACATAACGCAATCCACGATCCGCCTACCACTTACCACTCTAATTCCTTCTTACTCTCGCTATTACAACCTCCTTCGGCGTTTCCACCTTGCGGTTTTCGCCACTCGTAGACACCGCCTCTCTTATCAAACGCGCTCTTGTCCCAAGCCACCTGCAGCATGGCCTTCTTCACTCCAACATCAAGCAAGGACTCGCTCTTCTTCATCGGCCCATTGCCCTTGTCGAGGAAGCGCAGCTTTTCGTCCAGCAGCAAATAGCTACCAGCCATCGTCTCATTGTCCTCGGGCACGTAACAAGGCAGGTGCTCGTGCCTCCCGCAGAACGTCTGCCATTGCTCCTCCGAGATGAGAAACTTTCTTGCGTCACGCACCCGCGTCTCATCCTCATTCTCGCCTTCTACAATCAGGCACTGGAAAACCTTCCATCGGAACGGTGCCAACAGGGCAATCGTGTCTGCCATGTCCTCGTTCCAGTTATAGATGTTGACAACAGTGTTGAGCTTGAACATGATGTTGTACACCTTGCACCACTCGGCAATGCGGAATACCTGTGCGATATGGTCTTTTTCTCCCTCCGCTCCGCCATTCTCCCCACGACCGATCTCCTTATTCGTCTCGCGGACAAACGAGTCACAAGAGATCGCCAGAATGTCCAGATAGCGGCCGTACTCGCGGAGCCACTTCTCTTGGATTTTGCTTCCGTTGCTGACGATGCTTATGCTTTCGATGTCCAAATCTTCCTTACAGTACCGCAGCAGCTCGCCCAGGAATTTCGGATGAAGGAATGGCTCGCCGCCGGCAACATTGAGCTTACGCATGCCTGCGCCCTTCAAAAGACGCATGCCATGCTTGGCTTCGTCCAAAGAAAGAATGTAGCCTGAGGTGTTGGTGTGGAAGCAGAATCCGCAGGCATAGTTGCATTCGCGGGATGGGAAATAATTGACAGAGACAGGTGCGTCCGGGTCGTCCACTGGAGGCTTGGGTTTTGACTCCTGGGTGACGGCTGTCTTCGATCGATGAGAGCGGGATGTGTCGGCGTGGCGGCGTAGTGAAAAATAGTAGGTTATTGCTAGCACAGCAATACACATGACCCATAAGAAGGGAGGTATCGTCGAAAAGGTTGATAGCGCCGTCTGGGCGGCAATAGTTAGGATTCCCATGATGTCGGGCTCATAGGTTCTCCTTGTTGATTCTAGATGTAGTCTCACTGCAAATATTGACACATACGGCAGCAGTGTATTGAACAAATTTTGAGGTTCACCCAGTGAAGCCCAACTTGAACGAAGTCGGGTATTTTTAGAGTTTAGGGCTTCCAATCAACACAGAGGACTTACTGATTAACCCCTCAAATGCCGGTATCACAAGAGATTATGTAATGAGACAGCTTTCGTAGGCCATCACGGCCGTCCAACTGCGACATGGGACGGGGATGATGCACCTTCCCTTCCGACGTTATTAGACCTGCCAGCACACTGCCAACGTCACCCATACGAGCAAACAACTCACCGGCCTCATCACCATGGGCACCACCACGGCTCCGAATAGACGGAAGTTTGCAGTCATATTCGTTCTCGGTTGGTCACCTATCGGTCCTAATCGGTAGATAGGATGCAAGCCCGCTCACCATCGTGATAGGAGCTCCCGGCTCGGGGAAAGGCACGATCTGCACCCATCTGTCCCGCAAGAATGACCTGTTACACTTCTCAGTGGGAGATAATCTGCGGACCTGGATGAAGGATGAAGCAAACCGCCAGACGCCTCTCGCCGCTACGATTCAAGATAAGCTAGACAACCAAGGATTCCTCACGTCCACGGAGTTGAACCCATTCCTGGGCATTGCCATCGAAGATGCAGTGCGGCGAGATGGGTTGAACGGGATATTGATCGACGGATTCCCAAGGTGCGAGGAGCAGCTTGCCTCGTGGGCGCAGTGGCCCTTTCAAGAACGCCTTCCGTTGGTATGTTGATGCGGATATAGCCCAAACATGTGGGCTACAAACGGCTAATTCGAGCAGGAGGGTCAACCTAAACCCGACATCGTCTTGTCACTCAATGTGACCAAAGAGAACGCAGAAGCGAGATACCTCGCGCGTGGCCGCGACAAGAACGACAGCGGCGAGAAGTTCACGAAGCGGTTCGCAGAGTACTTGGAGGAAGGACCGCCAGTGGAACGACACTACCGTCAAGCAGGATTGCTAGTCGATGTAAGCATTACCGCCTTTCTTTGCATCCACAACTGGAACCCTTCTGACAAAACCTCAGATCGACAGCAATGGCACCAAGGAAGAAAACATCGCAGGGGTGGAGAGGACACTGGGAGACAGCGCATTGTGGAACCGTGTGATAGGCCAGGGTACGGAGTCGGTTTTCCTCGTATCCCACCGGTGACCGGGTGCCGGATGACGCCCATAGCCCATGTGTATACCAACTTCCCCAGGAAGAGTAACCCAATTCAAGGCCATCTCCAACTTCGTCTTACTTGCTGCTACACCCGCCATCCGCGGACGTTGACCTTGTTCTGGTGCATCTGCTCGCCATCTCCGACTACGCCACTTCACTAAACTTCTATTATCTCCTTCATCTTCTATGGAAAACTCTTACCTTACGCAAATTTGATATTTACGCAGTATAATTCCAATTCGAAGGAATTTGGCTTCCAAAGGAAGTGCCAGGAGTTATAAGACCTTGGTATGGAGTCTTTGTCATCTGTAAGAGCTACATGGATGACTTGGACGATTGAAGTCTGATAAATAATCTCTTTACAAGCTTGTTGGTAGAATTAGACAATACCTGCCAGATTGCCCGATCCTGGAGGGCGTTACCGGCTCTGAGTGAGGGGACTTTTACTATGTAGATGGTTCTCTTGGGTCGAGCATAAAACTAGTTCTTCCTACGTAATAGTGGTCTAGACAAGCATGGTTGTCGTTTTATCGAGGCCAAAAGGAGTAGTATACCTCGACAAGTCCGCCGGGGTGTTCCTTCTACGACTCATGGTGACACAAGGCTGTGAAAAATATGTCTCTTTTATTCTTAGCTTTGCCCGATGCCTGAAGCGAGGCGCCTATAAGTGATGAAAGTCGCCTATGCGATCCTTCTCCAAGCATTACGGTGGCACAGATCAAGGTTCACGAGGCCTTTTGTGCTTTGCAGGTAGAATCCTGCGTCAGCTTCACCCAAAACGCTCAATACCCATACTATATCCTTGATACTTTGCCCGAATTTCGAGTGAACTGTAATCAAATCATGACGATGTTACACCGAGGATCGACAGCGGTGGGCTGAGACGAGCGCAAAGTGAAGCGCTTCAGCTGACATGTCACTCACGGGGTGTCAAGGGCTAGTGGCTCAGAGTTTAGCCCTAACACAATTGCATGTTATGATATTACGTTCGAGTATCTAGCAAGTATCAGGTAATAGTATATTAACCTTGGACATATGTAGACCCCCGGCCTCATAGGCAGACTTCATACTTTAACTATTAGTAAGCACGTAATGAAACGGGCATAAGTTCTGCTGAGCCGCCAGGTAAACGAGCACTAGCTTAAAGAGAACACAGTCCCCTGCATGTAGGGCAGAGACAACAAGGCTCAGTTCTTCGCTTGGACGGAAAGCAGCCGGAGTGGGGTGTTGTCGTTGAAGTTTGGCTCTTATGCAAGTAAGCTTACCTCACTTTCCCGCGCTACATTTGCTCCGTACGCGAGTTGATTGGCTCGTATAGGGGACGGCCCGGTCCATCTTGCTTACTTCGTTTACATTTTCCGTTGAGCCGATGGTAAGGGACCTTTGCTTCTCAGGTTGACTTCCAATCAAAGGATCCCTGGTGTGGCAATGAGTATTCTAAGTCAGGTCGATTAATCGAGGTGCATACTCACTAGAACAAGGTATTGAAAGCAGTTGTGGATATGTCGATCGGTCATGTTCTAGTCTAAGTGCTTTGCAACACAAGAGCCTGGTCCACAATAGCATAGACCTGTGGTGGTGATAGACTATTGTTGTATTCCTCCCCAGAGCCTAGGTTCATGGTCATGGATACCGTGGCAATACGAAGTTGGCACTAGCATCGGGCGAAGCTATCCAGAAAGTGACTGGGATGACGACTATGGCCTATCGAGTTGACATCAGCTCTTCCTCGGACTTCCGGAACAATAAGTCATGTCTCGAGGCTTGAGAACCTTCTATAAAAGGTTGACATAGTTCACTTCAAAAGCTCTCATCTCTTCTCCATCATCATCACATCAATCTACTCACGTCACTCACGAAACAAGACAACTCTTAACCTATATTCAGTAACTCCTATCGTCACCTCGCTCCATCCAAAAATGTACGCCTCCAAGATCTTCCTCGGCCTCATCGCCACCGTCTCGGCCATCGATATCTACGGCTACAAGAACAACGAAAAGTGCGGCGGCGGCGACTACATCGTCTGCACAAACGCCAACCCAAATGACTGCTGCGTCCGCTCCTCTGGTGACACCTTCCGCAGCATCGGCTTCCGCGCCATCCCAACCAACTGGAGAATCATCGGCCGCGCCTTCAGCGGCGGCGACTGCAAGAACGTCAAGTACGTCGCCCAGTCCAACGGCGCGCAGAATGTCTGCTGCGGCGGGAGCACCTACTCTGGCGGCAACTATGTGTTTGCTTCCAAGAAGCGCGATGAGAGCGCCACTGAGGATGGCACCTGCGCCGCTTCTGCCGGGGGCTGCACTTCCGTTGCGAAGGGCAACTTGATGGTCTTTGAGAACGGACCCAAGTATAACATGACTGGTCTTGATGATGCTCTTTACACTGAACTGGTAAGTACATCCGTGTATTTGATATTATCTGTCCTCTGAAGTTCATATATACTGACATTGGGTTCTCTTCTTCTAGTAAGCTATAATGTCCTTCATCTTCCTGGATCGAAGCTCCTCTTGTCTCCTTTCCCAGCCCTTCCATTGTCACATTTACTAACGTCTTTGTCACCAACAGTATCTCTATCTGGGAGAACGGCGGAAGCTCGGATGAGATCCCCGCCAAGTTCGATGCCTACAAGTTTGAGTAGAATCTTAATCAAGGGGTTGGTCAGGACTCAGGTCAGGAGAGGCGTACAGGCTGCAATCCACTCATCTCCCTGATCTCACCAAGACCACGTCATGATCATATTTCCCCGTCACAATTTCTCTTTACTTTCTAGTATACAGCTTTCACCATTCCAATTCTTTCGGGATTGTGTTGCATGGACACGTAGATAGCTAGCTGCTCATTTCAACAATGGCGTATCCGTCTACCAATACAAGCAACATCTATTCTCTTTTCGAAGTAGTTCGACTGCGTACAACTATCGGATAACTCTGAGTCTGCGTTTAGTTTGAAACGAACGTGCGAGTTAGGTTAATGTTTGGCTACAGAGTAGCCAAGTTTGAAGGACAAACCTCAAGGGGCCAGAGGAGCAAGTTGCAACATTTGCCTAATTAAAGCCGAAATTTCATGGTATATCGTGTACCTAGAGTTTCAATTTCATCACTTGGCGTCTTCTATACACGAAAATATTGTCACCAAACAGGATTATCATTAGAAACTCTGTTACGTGCTTCCTCACGCAGATCCCACACTCGTTCCGTAGATAGAACAACCTTGCCAACAACGACCAACTCCCTTCTATTCAAACCCTCACAAAACTCCAGAATCCCAAATCCCTCCCCTCCTCCAATCCTCTCCCAACACCTCTCTCAAATCCCTCCACCACTCCAAGACCCAATCCAAAAACCCCCTTTCCTGATCCCTCCTATCATCCCCAATGAACACTCCCCACCCTAACGTGCTGAGATCCCTCGAGACCAGCGGATTCGGACATCTACAGGACAGCTTAGTCCCAGCTGAAGCAGAGACCTCGCCAGAGAGAACGCCGAGGCAGGTTCTCAGTCGACACCGCTGGGCCCAGTCAACCGTCTCAGTTGCGGCGTCTGGTTCTAGGGGTAGAGATGGCATTGCTTGGGTTTCAACTTGCTTCGTAGTGCTACCGCAAAAGAGACAGACGCATGGCGTTGTGGGATGGGAGTTCTGAGGTGATGAGGCCACGGAAGATACTACGTAATGCTCTTTAGAGATCTCGGTTCTGCGATACGCAGATCCGCGCTAGGAAATTGGTGGCGCAGATTTGTTTGTGCTGGAAGAGTCTGGCAAAAGAAGGGAATTGAAAGAAATGATCGAGTTTAGATGGTTATATTTTCTAGAGAAAAAGACAGAATTCAATAAAGGCAACTTCAGCTAGGTACATGTACCTGTGGAGGGTGGCTTCAATAACAGTCAGAAGTGAGGCTGTGAGACCGATTGTGCGTGATTGAGTCCTACTAGTTAGTCCTACCTCTAGGCTACTAGCCCCATGAAGGATGAGCATCCACGCCAGTTCATCAGGACTTTAGCGCATTGGCAGATTGAGGACGCCTGCGAATGGGATGAATCTGATAGACTTTATCCCGAGTAAAACCGTGATTATCAAAGATATCGCAATGTTCTGGATTTCCACAAGATTAGTGCATCATTCGATATTTAAGAATAGCAAGGTCAAAAGCATGTCATGGTCATGATGTACTCCCACCCAAGATGCATTGCATCGCAAGCAAGGCCGATTTTAATAGTGGGCATAGCTTTCGCAAGTTTCTCATTCAAGATTTGTATGTTTTGATCCACCGTACCCGTTCCCCGGCGTCAAGGTAATATACAAGACCACATTTTCACATCTCACATTATTACACGAAGGCTTGGATACCAGTGATGGCGCGACCCAAGATGAGACCTGTTTCTTAGGTTAGTGACGGATATCCCAAAAGCATACGGCCACGGGAGCAACTTACTGTGAATGTCACTCTGTCCCTCGTACGTCTGCGTCACGAAAAGGTTGGCGACGTGACGGCCAATGCCATACTCGTCACTGACAGCATTACCACCAAAGATCTCTTGCAGCACGCGCGCATTCTGCAGCGCCCGATCGCAGTTCTGGCGCTTGACCATGCTGATCATCTCGGGCGTCGCCTTGCCCTCGTCCTTGAGTCTGCCGACCTGGATCGCGGCCACGGTACCGTAGGCCGCGTCCGTCGCAGCGTCTGCCAGCTTCTTCTGTACGAGTTGGTACTTAGCGATGGGGTTACCCTTAAACTGCTTTCGCTCGAGTGAGTACGTCCTGGCGCGGGCAATGCAGTCCTCAAGGGCACCAATGACGCCCAGGGAGATACCGTATCTCGCGCTGTTGAGGCACGAGAATGGGCCTCGCAGTCCTTCGACCGAGGGGAACATGTTTTCCTTAGGGACGGGGACGTCGTCGAGCTGGATCATGCCTGTGATGGAGGCTCGCAGGCCATTCTTGTTCTTGATAGCTGGTGTCTCGAGAGTACCGGGCGGACACTGGGACCGTTCAACTAGGAACCCTCTGATCTTGCCCGTTTCTTGTAGCTTCGCCCAGACCATCAACACATCGGCAATGGGCGAGTTTGTGATCCACGTCTTGGCACCAGAAAGAGAGTAGTAGCCCTCCTTGGTCGGGTGAGGCTTGGCCGTCGTCTCCATGGAGCCGGGGTCGCTGCCGTGGTTGGGCTCTGTCAAACCAAACGCGCCGAGCATCTTTCCTGTGGCCATCTTTGGCAGGAATCTCTCCTTTTGCTCCTCGGTACCGAACTCCGCGATGCCACCCATGACCAGCGACGACTGGACGGACATGCCGGAACGGTAGCCACTGTCGACTCTCTCAACGGCCTTTGTGATGAGTCCTCCGGCAACAGTAGAGACACCGGCGCATCCATAGCCCTCAATTGTTGCTCCGAGGAGCCCCAGTTCGCCCATCTCCTCAAGGATCTTTTGGTCATATTGCTCGTCGCGGTAGGCCTCTATGGAGAGTGGTCAGTGTAAGCCATGGAAGTTACCAGCAAGGTACCAGCAAGGGAAGACATACGAAGGACACGCGGCAGCATGCGCTCCTGGCAGTATCGCTCAGCCGTCTCAGAAATGGCGACCTCCTCCTCAGTCAGGAGGTTCTTTGCGTTCAAGGGATCCTCCCAGTTGAAGACCGGGCCATCGGAGGCGGAAGCGAAGGTTCTCGCGGCGGGCAAGGTACGCTTTGCGGCGCATCGTGTCGCGCATGTTCTCAAGGCGTTGCGATACATTCTGGCTACTACTGATCAATTGACTCTTCCTCACGGTGGGTTGGGGAGAAATCGTGCCGCCACCATGGCGGGAACATGGTCTTGAAGCCCGGGCACGGGGCGTCTTCCCCGCCAGGAGCTCTCCCGAGCAGCATCCGAGGCACAACAGGGGTCGTATCTGATTGGCTGAACGATTGAAGATGATGATTACATAACGACCCGGTGTCGGCGAATGACGTCGTCGCGGACTACCTCCGCAATGGACTGAAGCCGTCTTAGATGGGGATGCGGTCAAGGTGTTACCTCCGTCTTGAATAGTACCCGGAATTAGTTCCGAATAGTGTGTGCTTGCCGAGTGCTAGACGCGGTTCCCCAGACTGTCGTTCATGCAATGAAGGATATCGGGACATTAGTTGGGATTGTTGGTAGCTAGGCACAGCCACAATCTGGAGAGTGGGAATTGATGATCGCGAGACCTGTCCGGGGAGGGACTGTTGCTGGAAAAAAGAAAAGGCCGGAGCAGGGGAGGTCAAGTACAAGAATAGGAACAGGCTGGGTGCGGATTGGGGTTGAAAGGTTGAAACATGCCAGGGCAATGCCTTGGCCCTTTGTTCGGCAGCACCCGGCAGAGTTCAAACCCGGGATGAGATGCTCGGGAGGTACATGTGTTTTTGGGCATCGCTTGGTGCCCAAGTTACGTACCGGGTTCGGGCGACACCTAAGAGCCGGACGTCATTCGCCGTAGCCGGCGGACAGCCATGGGATGGCAGATGCAAAAAATGCAAAATGTAGAGTGCAGGCAGAGTGCGAGGAGCTGGTGTTGATAGAAAGTGACCGCCGCGAAGAGGATGATGAGTGTCGAAGAACGGCATATGTTCTGTTGTACGAGGTTTCAGGTACGCCATATCCCAGAAGGATGAGCTGATTTCGGAATCCGGGGTGCTTTCTTGCTTGAGCATTGATGCGTCGCTGTTGGTTCGACGGCATCGAGGGCCAAACCCATCACCCAGTTGGGTAGGATGCATGAGATGTCTTTCCATTTGCCATCCAGGTAGCAATCGATGATACTACGCGATTGCTTGGTGTTTTTGGCGCCTATGCTAAGGTACCTAGGTAGATGCATATGCTTAGGTACCGGTACTCTGAAGTCTGGGCCGGTGTGTTGGTAGAAGACCAGGGAACCGCTTCGGCTGGGTTGGAATTGGTGAGGCTGATGCACTTGCTGAGTCATCGGGTGGCATTACCAGAACCGCCACCAGTCAGCAATTGTCATCAGTTAGTGTTGCAGGTGCTGTGCGTGCAGTGAGGATGTGACGGTGCACAGGTTAAGTTACCTATCCTCTGAGCGTCCTTCACAACTGGAAGAAAGTGGCCACAGAACCACATTTTGTTTTGTTTGAATGAAACCTGTCGCCCGGTAACCGAGTCTGACGCTCCAGAGTGAATGGCCAATGATGACTGAATACCTTACTGCGTAGGTCAGTAGATGCTTGATGGGTGTCATCGTTTGTCAACCTCCCAATCCCCTGGTGGACAGACTGATGCGGTAATGACCAATCAACAATCATAAATCGTTAGTCACCAGCCACATCTGCATTTGCTGCGCCCGGCTCCTGCTTCTCTTGACGCTCACAAATCGAATGGAATCCGTGGAAAGCAACAGTGCATTCAGGGCCATTCAGGGTTCAATTCCAGTAATAACAAGTACCTTTGCGAGTGGATTTGGGGAAAAGATACTTTGCGGGCGGCTACCTTCCTGCCCGGTCGTGTCAGTGAATGGAAGGAAGTGGATGGCGGCAGCCCGAACCTGACGGGATGGGAATGGAAACCATGGTTCGCGCTGGGCAGCCTCAGTGCCTTCCTTTAAGCCTTAGGTTTGGCGCTCTGCTCCCCCCCTCCTTCCCACTTCCTGCCTTTCCCCTCCAAAGTGGCTCCTGCCTACCTAAGGTTACCACACGACTCACCCCTTCCCGTCATTTTTCGCCAGGTCCGACCGCTGACTTCCTTTCTCTCCTTCCTTTCCCTCCCACCCCATTTCAATCTCGACATCAATCTGTAACGGGACCGCCACGAAGCGAATCATTTCCTCCACGAACACCGCGTAATATCCTTCACGGGCGATATACCGAACGACCTTATACACACGATCGGGCTCTTTTCTTTTCGGGAGAATCTTCTTCGGGGATAAATCTTTCCTCGTTCAGGTACTGTACGCCCCTCCCCACCACCATCAGCACATGATTTGCACCCAAGACCGTCACATCCACGCTTTCCACGACGCCTGCTGCTGCTGCTGCTGCTGCAGCATCGACACCGGCTACATCGAGAATGCTCTTCGGCTTCGGCATACATGTATATCAAGTGTCATACCAACACGGCCTTGGTTCCTTTGGCATTTCCTCGCACCTCGACACAAATCACTCCGTTTCGCTTTGTCGGCCGACGCAAACTACAGCAGGCCAGCAGCAGCAGCAGCAACAGTGCAGCCCACCACCCCTCCACCCACCTCTGCCCGCAACCTGCATCCAAAAAAAGCCCACCACCGCCGACCGCTTTCGCTGACTTTTGCCCCTCACAACTACAGAACATAGCATTTGCGCTTCGGCGATCGACCATCTTCTAGATACCCCCAACCACAAACCACATTCAAAATGGCTCTTAAGCGCATTAACAAGGAGCTCACTGATCTCGGCCGGTAAGTTGCCTGCACACTTTTCGTCATTTAAACTCGCAGCCTTTTTGTCGCAGCCCGAGACGTCAGGTGGAGCCATCGAGAGCGGGGTCTTCTTCAACAAGGACTGCTGCAACTTTTCAGCTCATTCGGACCACTGATGTTGAGGGTGATGGCGGCATCAAGCCGACGAGTACGATTCCAAAGATGCACAATGCTGACCTCTTTTCTTTGACAGTGACCCGCCCTCTTCCTGCTCTGCCGGCCCCGTCGGCGAAGATCTGGTACGTCGACTACGTCTTTCCCGATAAGAGCCCGCTGTGGTGATGCTTTGAATCATGACTCAGCCGAGCACGAGATCACGGATTCTCAGTGCCCACGATGGGATATGTAGACAATAGCTGACCGGAATCGTATAGTTCCACTGGCAAGCGACGATTATGGGACCCGTAAGTCCATTCCCCCCCTCAAATGCTCTGTTGGTTGGACCTGGACCTGGCACTGGTACCCGAGATCCAGCCAACTATCAGCTGGAAACAATGACGAGAATCAAAGCATGTGGCTAACATTTACGTTCAGGGCGACTCTCCCTACTCTGGCGGCGTCTTCTTCCTCGCCATCCACTTCCCGACCGACTACCCCTTCAAGCCGCCCAAAGTCAACTTCACCACTCGCATCTACCACCCCAACATCAACTCCAACGGCAGCATTTGCTTAGATATTCTGCGTGACCAGTGGAGCCCGGCGTTGACCATCTCCAAGGGTACGTCATCTCATAGCTCACCTCAAGCCTGACGTAGGCACTGTGCTAACATGTGATAGTCTTGCTGTCCATCTGCTCAATGCTGACGGACCCCAACCCCGACGACCCTCTGGTGCCCGAGATTGCACACGTCTACAAGACGGACCGCGCCAGATACGAGGCCACTGCTCGCGAGTGGACTCGCAAGTACGCTATTTAGACGGTGCTCGAGGCATGATGGTTGGACAAGTATGACAGGCGACGGCTTTCCTCTCTCTCTTCGACAGCTCTGGCGTACGATTAGGTCATGGTCATTGCTCTGCGTTGCGGTTTGGGATCTCTTTCGTTTCACCAGCACACAGAAGACGGTTCGGCCGTCGAAACAAAACACTTGACGGCGGATTGGCATTCTCGAGAAGAGGTTACGCGGGCAATGTGGATAGAAGGCGGACCAATCAGACAGTTAGCAGCACAGGTACCACGTACGGGTTTTCATACGGCAAGGCTTCATGTTCCTACTGCATTGACGCTGCATTGCTGCGTACGTTTTGGTTGACACCTCAGAAGAGACGACTGGTAGTCATCGTACCCCATTGTTTCCGTGATAATATGTCTTCGTGTCCCAGGCTTGGTGTTCCTCAAAGCCAGTGTAGGTTACCAACTACCCTCGATGCTTGGATGACGAGGAATACTTTTGGCTGACGAGGGTCGGTCGTCGTTAATATCTGGCTAGAGCAGATGCCGTTGCCCAGGATGCGGCTCGGACAGGCTTTCTACCTGAGTAAGTGATCGATGAGACCGAGTGATGTCAATGTAACATTGATAACCTGTCCTAAGCGGCGGTCATTGACTGCCGGGAGCCGTGTTTAAAGGCCCGTTCATAGGGTGTTTCGATGCATTCCGATTCTCTCCCACACCGGAGTACCTCTCCCGTGGCAAGGGCATCAGGTCTAGATGTGCCGGTTTGACCTGCCTGGGTCGAGTGTGCTGGGACGCCGGCTCCGAGGACCCGGGGATCTGAGGATCCGAGGATCATGGTGATGGTTTGAGATGAGATCTGGATAGATGGCACCGTGAGTTCGCATGTTTATCTATGTACAGTGAATAGAAGGGGAGCTCGATGAGATTCGTGAGAATAGGGATGTTACATTTCTAGCGTTGGGCAGGATGCTTCATGAAAGGGGGCCGCTATGTTGTATCTTCAAGGATTCATGCACGAAGCCACTGATACCGGAACCGGCAGAGTCCATGAGAACCCATCGCGAGGTATGAGAAATAAGTACCTGAAGCACCATCATATGGCATACGTTAGTCAACGGCGACGGTGCGAGAATGGCTTACTTGCTTGCACGGCCGCATTCTTGTACTGGGTGGGAAAGATGATGATGTATCTCTGCTATGAATCTGAGATGAGGGATACCTCAAGTTTACGGGAACTGATAGACGGCATGTTGACTGGAGGCGTAATCCAGAGAGGTTCTGCCTTGCTTCTAGGGGGAATGCTGTTCACAGCTGGGCATCGCAACAAGAGTGAACAGTCAAAGAAGGACACAGGATACATGGTGTTTAGGGAGGAGACGGAAGATTGGGTGATAACATCCAGCTGAATACGTAGGGCTGGACATTCTCCGGCCTCGCTTCTTCCGCAACGATCCACGTAGATGATATATTGACTTACTAGACGGATCATTCTTGAAGCAAGGTATGGCATCACGAATAGTAATCAGAGTGATTCACCAAAGGCTGATGATCGTCCTTGGCAGGGCACATCTCCCGTCCTGATTCCACAATATGAAGGATACCAGCCCACGGGTACGGATACAGCCTCAGCCTTCCATTCATACATCATCCGACGCCAAGATGCCTTATTGATCGCGTTATCAAGAACAAGGTAAACAGTAACGAGCGCAGATTGGATCGTATCCGGAACATTATCATATGCATCACATAAACGACATTGCAGGAAAGAATTTGAACTAGGACCAGCCTTTAGAAAGGACTGGTGGCCTGCGGGCTCGCCGTTGCTTGGATCCTTCCTTACCCTAACTTGTAGGGCCAGCAAACATGCACGACATCAGTCCAAACGAAACGTGTGAGGCCCGGTTTGGAAGTGGTGGTGGCCCTCTTTAGCCGAGGATGAAAGGAGAATCGTTTACCTTTACGTAGGTAGCCGGGCGCTGGCAAAGATGAGATGGACGTGTGCGGCGATGGAGAGACCATTCTTCCAGGAACGGGAGAGGTGTTCATGAATCGAGCGAATCGACTAACCTCAGAAGAGCGGTAATGTGTACTGTTATCCGTGTGTGTGTGTACGGCTCTTTCCCAGCCGCGGAAGGGGCACGTGGTTTCATTTGAAGGATAGAAGAGGCGGGTTTACTCAAAACGGTCGGTAGATGCGAGAGGGCCGGCCGGGTAGGCAGAGGCGAGGAAAGACGGGAGCCTGTGCCCTTCGTCCCTCTTTCAAGCGTGTGCCCTTTGCGGATCTCGACACGCAGATGAGAGCAAAGGGCGAATGCTAGCTAGGAGAGGGCAAGGCTAGTGTGTTTTGAAACTTGATAATTTGAGGTCGAGCGCTTGATTGCTGGTGGTATACCAGACGGCCATTGTTCGGGAACAATCGTCCCCAGTGCAGTGGGAGGGAAGAAAACGGGCCTCGCGTTCGAGAAGTGTTCAAAGGAGAGGGCAGTGTCTCGCCGCTTCGGGTAATCGTGCCGTGTAGATCGACTCGAGGTGTGCCCACTGTCGGGCAGAGGTCGAGTGAATATCGCGTGTTTTGTAAAGGTGGGAATGGAGTCTGTTCAGGAGACAGGGGCTTGCGTCGTTTGGATTTCAAGGGACTGGTCGAGCGACGGAGGAGTTCATGGGCCGTGGTGAACAGGTGGTCTTGCTTGTCGAGTAAATAAGGTGAACTCTTGACAGGCTAAAGAATGCGGGATGTAATTAAGAGTATTTCCCGAGACTTGGAAGATACACACTTATTGAGTCTGTATCAGATAGATGGAATGAGGCTGGTAGAGACATAGTTTGAAATGTGGGGATCTTCAGCCGCTGGGTTGATGATGGCATGCAGATTGACGCAGTAGAGTCCGCAACAACCTGAAGGGGGAACCTCTCAGAGGGGCGGCAGATTGATAATCTAGCAATGTGTGATTGGTGGGACGCGCTTGCTCTTGAGTAGCCGAGTACAGATGACTTCGGCTTCAGTTGCATGCAATGAGGATCTTCACTGAGTTCGCCGAAATGCGCTCTCGCCAGCACCTTGTAAGCCAAGGGCAAGGCCAGATAGGTTTGTAAGAAGACAAACCGCGAGCTTGTCTTGTCAACGAATGGTTGACAACTTGACAAGACTGTCTCGAGGTAGTTGAAGTAGGGGCAACGAGGGGCATCCTCTGCGTAAGCAGCGAGCGGCAACCTGCCATTGAAGTTGGCTTGAGGTTGCCAATGATCTACGCTGGCGGTGGGAAGGGGTAGAGCAGCTTCAAATATGAACTGATTTTTGCATATGCCGCTCCGTTAAACTGGCCCTGAGTGCGTAGATTGTGAGTGATCTTCCACTAGGATGTTGAGTGGTTGACGGGGGATCAATCTGCGCGGTGACGGGACGAGATGTGCGGCGGGAGGCGAGCCAGAGGTTTGGCAATCAGCCGCGTGGTGACAGATGGCGAATGTGTAGCCGGTGCCTCTCTAAATGCGATCCAGGGCAGGGCGAGTCGAGGGATCCTAGCCAATGAGAGTGCTAAGAATATTCCGGCTTCAGTGAAAAGAGACGGGAGGGCGGTAAGAAGGGGGAGTGAGATATGAAAAAGGGGGAGTGTGGGTTTGAAGCCATGTGGTTTGTGAGACTGAATAGACGAGGTATTGGCTAGGAAGAGCGAAGAAGATGTTGACCAACGAGGTTATCCAAAGTCTCGACAGATGCTTCCGAGGGGGGAGCCGAGTTGGTTCCGTCGCTGAGTAAGGAGCTGAAGTGTGTTAAGCAATGTCGTACACTCGTACTCAAATGACTAACATTTTTTTGTTCCGAAGGCGTGATGATGAAGGGGCCAAAGTGTGCGTACCGTAGCAGCGATGAAGCGCCACAATCAGTGAAAAGGCAGTCGAGAGTGAGAGAGAGTCGAGACTTGACATCCTACACAGGAAAGAGAGAAAAGTTGTGAAATCAGAATTGTGTCAAAACATCCCTGGCGAAACAAGCTGTGACACGGGCTTAGGCGACGAATCGAGACGCACGCCCCTCTTTTACATCTCCGAAACGACTCTTGATCCAATCAGACGGGCAAAAACTGAACCCCCGCCAAGGGTACGCATCGCATTCTGAAGCTTGCCCTTGTCTTGTTTGGGAGCCACTACGGTGACGACTGACGAGGATTTCGAGGAATAGGTGGCTTTCATCAAGACTTATTGCCTGTGCCTGTTGGCTGGGGGCGGATCGATGTGCAACTGGGCGGTTTGGAAGTTTGTAGGCCGCGGAGGATTATGGCCTCATTACCCACATGTGATGCGGGAGACCAGCCTTGTTCCAAACGTGGCCCAAACAGCAACGAGGCGTAGGCGACCGTGGTGAGGCGGAAGGGGCTGATGAGATTTCCTGCATCGCCTTATGGCTATGTGCCCTATGGCATATTGAATATCGACAACAAGTTTTTGTGTTGGAGAGGGTTCGCCGTATCTGACTGCTGGTGGCCCGGTGGGATGACCACTGCCAGGGCCCAGGGGAACGATGCTGTACGAAGAAGCGAATTAGCCGTATCCGTCGGTAAGTGTGGATTCTTTCGGCATGCTCCGTGATGGCAATATGGACTGCAGATGTCCAAAAGGCTTGGCTTCGTGACGATTAATTAGTTGTACGGATATGGTCAACCACCGTCGTAGGCGGCTCGTTGTCGGTCTAAGCTCTTGATGCGGCCAGCGTCCGATGAAGCTGAGCTGGAGGAGAGTGGATCCCGGGAGTCGAACACGGTAGATGTGATTGGCGGGCAAAGACGGTGATCCCAGACTGCGACTGTCCGAATAAGGTAGGCTTTTTTCGATATTAAGGTAGGGAACCTAGTGGGTGCGCGATGCCGTCCAGCCCGTTCCAACGGCCTTGTGTCCCAGGAACGGGAACGAGGCCCACAGAAGGAGGGCGGCGACAAGCCAGGAAGCGCGCGTCCAAGCCGGGATCATGACTTTTGGGGGTCTGGATGGAATGATGTGAGCGCGATTCTGCGGTGGTCACTG